TTACTTGTGTAATATTATTTTCCAAGTAATGTTAGTCTTACTTGAGTATATTTTTGGGCTACTCTGCTCATATCTGCATTGATGTTTGATTGTATTCCTATTAAGATTTGCAGCCATTTATAGCAGAGGGAGCAGAGTTTTCCTTTGGGGGAGGGACAAACATGTTCTGCCCTCTTGATGCATTTCTTAGACTGTATTGCCATCATTTAAGCAGCACTGTATCTATTGATGACTTAACATTTCTTGATTGGACATCAAACATTATCTTATCACACTAATAACACTCAACTCACACTAAATGACCTATCTCTGTTACTATTTATACTGAAGAAAAAGTCCATATCTTTACTTTAATCTGGCACTTTAGCATTTTGTAAAAAAAAAATATATATATATATAACCTTCTATATCATATTGGCATTATATTTTAAGACCAAGTAAATATCTCCACTCTGAGACTGATTTAAAAAAAAGGTTTATCTTTTAATCACGCCTTGTTACTTACATATTTATTAGTCTTATCTAAGGTATTCAGCATTCTGTCTGAATAGAGAAGGGTCTGGAAATGGACCATAGAGCATAAAAACCTCTGTGCTAACTTGGAAAGATCCAGGCACAGCTGCTAATTTGTGTCATGTCTCAAATGCGGAAGACATCTCCTCTCTAAAATTCTTTTAACATTCAGAACAAAGTATATAACTTATTTTAACTGAGATAAGTAATAGTTGAGTGCTTTAATTGCTAATTCTGTAGAAAACTGAGCTGTTTTAGTCCTCTGTGTTATTTTTTCCTCCTTGTTTACATATAAACAGCCATGTCTGCTTTGACAGAACCAGACTAAAACTAAAGTTTTGTCAGAGCGTATGGTTCTGGCTGTCCTCGTAAACTACATAGTCATGTAACTTTATTATGCTGATAGTGTTGTGTTAGTTTATTGTAACTCTTTACAGCATAATTTATCTTTATCTTGAGTTTGATAGCATGTCCCTATTTTCCTGTTCTTCTTGACCTTTGCATTATATATATTGGTGGACTGGGCTGCTGTGGAGTTTGCATGTTTCTCCCCATGTCTGGATGGGTTTCTTCCAGACACTCCAGTTTAGACCATTGTTTTTTTTTTTTTTTTTGTTTTGTTTGTTTTGTTTTTTTGTTTATCCACAAGGGAAATTATCTGGACACAGTAGCTCACACAGAGACATAAATATAATGACAAAGATCAAAAATATAAATGGTAAAAAAAATTAATGGTATAAATTCAAAAGTTTCCCCCATCTAGCCAAAACATTGGGCAACAATAGCACAGGGCAGAATGCCCTGGAAGCACTGGTTAAAGGAAGGGTCAAATGCAAGAATACATTTCAGTCACAAATGGATCATGAGGGATTCATAAAATATACCTGAACCTTAAACCTTGACTAAAATTATTAGAGAAATGGTGGACCTCATGCAGTAAATCCATATACCTAAAGTTATGGATGCCCCTTTTCCTATAATTTAAGTCAGTTTTCTTAATTTCCCATTAAAGAACATAGCTGTGATTAGAATGTGTTTTAAATCAACACACTTCACTTTCAGAATGCATACATGGTTAATTGGATGCTTGAATTTTCAACAGAAGTGGTTTACAGTTGATAATTGGAAATCTCATGCAGAGTTAAAGATTGTCCCCCACTGACTGTCATTCAAATGTTAAGAAATACTAAGTCAGTACTATACAGTTATAATGCCGATGGCTGTATTGATCTGTGTCTTTTCAGTTTTGGAGGGTCCATCTGCAGGTTATTGATAGATCTGGAGCACATATGATCCCCTGCAGAGGACTAACAGGGAGTGATTGACAGTCTCATGCTAAAAAGCTCTGACATTCAACAGTTTTCTGGAGTCCTCACATTGCTAGGCCAATTTGGTCTTAACTAAAACGATGGGGTATCATGGAAAGTCAACTTTTTGGAGCTTTGTTCCATGCTATAACTTTGTTCTCACATGAAAAAGAAGCTTGAAGTGGGTTTATGTGTTATCTAATGCGTATTTGAGTAATCTTGTGATCTCCCCTAGGCATTACTGAAACCCTCCTTATACAATTAGTAGTGCTAGCCCAATCTTACAAGAGTTAGGCCACAAGTCTACAAAACCAGGAAGCTCTCTGCAGCATTCCCACATAGCCATTTTTCATGAATATATAAGAGCATGATACAAAACAATACACTACCATTTCACAAACTTGATGTTTTTGTTTTGCTTTGTTATCAGTTTTTTTTTTTTTTTTTTTTTTAATGAAAGGAAAGCACAACTTGCGCAGGAAACTGCCTCTTGTTTCTCAACTGTTTGTGTGGAAATAGTACATTTCATTTTAAAAGTCCAGATTATAATCACATATTGGTCTGCATGTGAAGCACTTACTGGCCAACTTCTTAAATACACCTGTTCACATGCATGTTGACACAGATCAGTCAGCAATATGTTTTTCGTGTAACTTAATACTTTTCACAGGACAAAGAAAGAAAAATCACATACTTCTAAATGTTAAAACGTACACACTGAGTACAACACAATCATTTTCTATTCTATGTCAAATAACAAAGATTTCTAATTGTGTTTTTGCAATAAAAGTTTGATTCAATAAAAGTTAACAATAATTGCCCCATGTGTTATATGTCAAGATATGTCAAATCATGTTACATCTCTAATCCCAAAAAACTATCAAAAGAATGATTCCTGTTGCAGAAAATTCTGAAACTTTCCAAATCAACAGCACAATGTTATTATACATTTTTAGGTGAGTCATATGGACAATACAATATGATATTTCTTCATGGCATCAAAGTAGTTAGAAAGAGCAATAACAGTATAATCTAGTCTGCAGCATATTTTAATCTCCAAAATCCTATAGACCCCTGGAAGCAGCTGTGGAAGGTCATATTGCTTCACTGTGAGAGAATGCTAAATGCTAATGCTAATGTGACAGTGTAGTGTAGGAGGAGGCACAACACAGCACCAGGTCCATGGAGCTGGAGGAGGAATATGTTACTATCAGCTGTCAATCAAATGCCTCCTGAGAGTCTCAACTGGTGGGTCTGTGTCCAAGTGTCTGAAAAAATGTACACTGACGTGACTAATAATACATGTTTAATAATAATAATACATTTTATTCAGACTGCTTTCAAAGCTCTCAAGATCAGAATTATCACCATCTGTTAAAAGTGTGTTATTAGTTATTGTTAATACTATTAGTTTCATAATTACTTACATCTCTAGGCAAGGCAGTAACATCACCACAGAGACAAGCAGGTGTATCCTCCTTCTCCAGAAAGGTTACATAATGCACCTTTTTCCATATACCCTTTTTCCAGGAACTCATAGTGATGATTTACCATGCAGCCATCCGTTTTGTCACAGGTGCTTCGTGTACCCATTACTGTGCACTTTATTTCCTGGTGAAGTGACACTCTCTCCACACCCACAGACAAACTCACTGGTTATTGTTCATTTACAAATGTTTAATAACATGTAACACTCCATCCTACCTCAGCTCACTGCACATCCACAGCTCTAGCCGCACACTGCACTCCAACACATGCATGACCCTGGTTATTCCTAAAGCCTGCACAGCTTTGGGTCGCTCCTCATTTCAGTTCTCTGCAGCAAATGACTGGAACCACCTTCAACAGACATTGCAGATGCTTTTAACACTTTTATATCTTTATTCTGCAAATGTTTCACTGTCTCACATCTCTTTTCACTGTTTCTTGTTATGGTTGATGTGTGAGCGTATTCTTCTTGTGCTGTTTTGTGCTGCCTCTTGGTCAAGTTGTCATTGCAAATGAGGAGGTGTTCTCAACTGACTTACCTGGTAAAATACTGAATAAATAAAATAAAAATATCCAGCTTCTTCATACTTGAATGTGGTAAGCTACTTCTTCAGCCACAGCTGCCATGGTGTAGACTAATGGAAGCAAGACTGCCAATCTGCGCCATCTGCTGCTCTGAAGACCGCCATATTCATACATAGGTAAGGTGGGTAAAGTGTCTTGCCCAACAACATAAGGGCAGTTGAAGGGGGCAGAACCTCTACACTGTTTATATGTCTGTCAGAATTTGAAAATGTACTGTTCTGCAATTGATCTGTAACTTGGTTTGGCGGCTTACTGCCATACTGTGGAACATTCCAGGAAAGCAATAAAATCTCTATGGAAACAAGCAGCTGGTGAATCATCTCCCAGAAAAGTTACATAGAGCACTTTTTAAATCAACAAGTGTGGTCTGCTTTCTCTTGTCAACAAAAAATGGATTCTAACTGTACCAAAGTGTAATTTGATAAAGGCACCATGGCACCATTAGCCAGCTAGCCCAAATGCTAAAGGCTTACTCCACCAAGCACAAAACATTTCAATGGAAACTTTAAGATTTTCAAAACAAAAACTAGAAACTACATTTAGGCATACAGCAGCAGGTAGATTTCAAAACCAATCGTGAAATAACCCCGTCTAAACTACAAACAATCCCAAAATAAAGCCATAGCCTAAACTAGCAGTAAACCAGGGCTAACCCGGGACTAAAGCGCTCCCACGCTGCTGTGATGTTGCTCTATTGTAAAGGCACAGGGCCAGATTGGGAGACAGTGCAGTGTGGAGGGAGGAGGAGGTGCATTTCCATGTCATTACCATAGCATGTGTCCGGTGGTATATAACGGCACAGAGGCACGCGCACAGCCCACAGAAAGACACAAACGGGACAAGGGAAGCATGTTGGACAATTGAGAAACAGAAAAACACCCCGTCCACGCTTCCACCATAAGGATTTTCAGTATTGGATTATAACGCGTGGTGGACTCAAGACGCAGCGAACTTTTGGGAATTACCGCTTTTATATTCGTGCTCCTCGGGACACGACTCAATGAATGAAAGAGACAGAAGCGCGCTCTCGATGCATCAACAACAGCGGGACTGAAACAGAGGAGGCACCCAAGCTCTTCACCTATTTATTTTATATTTATTTTATATTTATTGAATATGGGGCACGTTATCCTGCTGACTTTCTCCGTCATGTCTATGCTACTTTGCCAGGTAAGAGTCGCTATAATGAACTTTTACGCACGCATTAAAGTTACGTAGAACAGATAGCAAAGTATTGAAATTAGAATTAACAGGTAGTTTTCATGTCAAGAAAGTAGATGCAAGTTGTATTATGGTGATAACTTGCACTTTTTTGTATTGTAGCTCACTTGATTGGTACAAACTACAGCATCCTTCAGTGCGCTAACTAGAGTAACTTTCTTTGCAGGGCTTGTGTTCGGGAGTCTTTGAGCTGAAGTTACAAGAATTTTTGAACAAGAAGGGAATACAGGGAAACAAAAACTGCTGTAAAGGCGGACTGACGTCATCTTTCCAACAGCAGTGCGAGTGTAAAACATTTTTCAGAATCTGTCTCAAGCACTACCAGCCCAACGCGTCGCCTGAGCCCCCGTGTACGTACGGCGGAGCTGTGACGCCAGTGCTTGGGTCCAACTCCTTCCAAGTCCCCGAAGCCATTCCGGAGAGCGCCTTCACCAACCCAGTCAGGATAAACTTCGGCTTCACGTGGCCGGTAAGTGTGCACAGTAGTAAAAGTAACCGTGCGTAAAAGCGTGAAGACAGATGAAATGGCGCCTTTTTGTCTCTCGTAAAAGCGGTGTTTAGTTTCATTGGGTGCACGCTAGCGCTATAGTCGCCTTGGGTCTTTTCTTGCCTGATGTTATCGCCGCATCACGCTGGCCACCTGTCTCACCAAGCCATTTGTGTTCCCAGGGGACCTTCTCACTGATCATCGAGGCATTGCACACGGACTCCAAAGACGACCTCTCCACAGGTAACGAGCCCCACACGAGCCTTTTACGCACGCCACGCGCACGTCACACACGCGCGCACGTTCCCTTTCCCATGCGTCTTTTGTCTCATAGAGGATTCAGTATGCGTCTTGCACTATGCTGTTGTGTTATTCGTAAAACCCACAAAAGAAGACCCTATTGTAAACGTTGAGCGTGTCAAAACAGGTTTCCCTTATCAAACTTGTTGAAGTATATGGAGTTTCGTGAATAACTTTAAAAAAATACAAAGGGATTTCACTAATCAAGAAGTGTAGAAATTGTGAGATAGGTGAAGAACAGTTCAGAACTCCCTAATTGGTTGTAGCAATGCTTGAGTTCATCCTATCTATAAATTAGCCAAACATATGTGATTCCATAATTCCAACCCACAACACTGTTCTGTTACACTTTTAATAACTTTCTTTTTATTCATTGTAGAAAACCCAGATCGCATCATCAGCACTATGACAACACAGAGGCACCTAACTGTTGGCGACGAATGGTCCCAGGACCTCCACAGCAGCGGAAGAACTGAACTCAAATACTCATATAGATTTGTATGTGATGAGCACTACTATGGCGAGGGATGCTCCGTCTTCTGCAGACCCAGGGACGATGCTTTCGGACACTTCACCTGTGGAGAGAGAGGAGAAATCGTCTGTGATGCTGGCTGGAAAGGACAATACTGCACAGAACGTGAGTAGAACAAATAATTAGGATAGAAACTGGTTGATTAAACTGGAAAGAACGCCATTGGAAAGTAGGTTAGAAGTTGAGGATGTGTTGTTTCTTGTATTGTGAATAGGAAGTGGATTGATATCGCATACGAAACTTAGACAAAGCTTAATTTCAAATGTGCTTTGATTCTTGACTATAACAGAAGAAAGTAGACAAAAAGCCAGTGAAAGTTGCACATATCAAAGCTGGCATATTGGTTCAACTTCCAAAATAGTATGGTTCTCCACTATTTAGAAATGGGCTGAAATGCATAGACATTTCAATTACATCTTAGGTAATAAAGCACATTGTACATTGAGGTAATTATTGAGACGTATAGGAGTTGATTGGGTTTAGCCATCAAAACAGCTATTCATTCATTGTATTTCAGCCAAGTGATAAATTATGTATACCAAAACATAGCCAAAACAGTTCAAATATCAAACTGAAAATGATGGCTTAGCTTGGTCTGTTTTGCCCAGTTTCTTGTATCCAAAGTGCAATTCAGCTTGACTAATGAGTGAGTGCCGTTAGAAAGGGCGAAGACAACTTATGCGTAAACAGCCCCAGTGCCCTAACTCCCCCCCATCCTCCCCACCTCCTCCTCTTCTCCTCTCCTCCTCTCCCACACGACCACTTGATTTATTCTAAGGAAAGTTTTTTGGGGGAATAATCTCACGCGTGCCATAAATTTACATGCTGCCTCCGGATTGGCCCGTGCCGCGGTGGGCTTGGCTTTTGATTGGTCGAGGCGGGGCATGTATTGTTTGAAGTAGGCAGCTGCCGGCAGAGTGTAGACAATGGAGCAGCTGTCTCGCACTGGCAATACACTCGCCACCTGTCCACTCTTATCTGCCCCAATCCGAGACATTAAGGGGAGCGCGCAAAAGAGGGGGAGAATAAAAGAGTTTTGACCCTGAAGCAAAAGAAGAAGGGAGGAAAAAAAGAAAGGAGTTTGGTGGTAGTGGAGGTGGGGTGGGGTCTTAAGGGGGCTTGCATTCACACACTATTGCCTTTGTCCCAGGCCTATGTTAAGCAGCAAATTCTTCCACGCTGATAAAGAGATAAGCAAGAGGTAGCATCCACCAGGCTTAGGACAATTGGCAGGGCTATTGTAGTCAGTAACTTTGAATTTAGTTGAAAAAGTTTGCATTCAAGATAACACAGAGAGATTGTGATATTTTGAATTGAAACAGGTTGCTGACAAAAGGGTTAGGGGAAAAGGCATTGGTCATTGTTACTGTTTTAGACACCAGATACAGAAAAGCATTTACTTTATATACTTTATGTATTGTATTGTATATTGTATTGTATGTAAAAACTTCAACTGAAAATTGTTTTTGAAAGTTATATACATCTGGGGGGAAAAAAAGCCTCGGTTAACAAGAAAGAACATATCAAATGAAATAAAGAGAAAAAAATTACGAGTGGATAGATTTAAAATTTAAATTGTAATATAGTATTTACTTGTAATCACTTTATTTTCTATCATTTTTTAAATACTTTTAAATGTTTTTTACAGCCATCTGTCTTCCTGGGTGTGATGACGAACACGGATTTTGCGAGAAACCAGGCGAGTGCAAGTAAGTGTACCATGATTGGCTGGTTATTTAGCAAAAGGTAATGTGATTGGCCCAAACTCACCTGTGTTTTTCCTTATTTTTATTTGAACAGGTGCAGAGTAGGATTCAAAGGGCGATACTGCGATGAGTGTATCCGCTATCCGGGCTGCCTCCACGGGACCTGCCAACAGCCCTGGCAGTGTAACTGCCAAGAAGGATGGGGTGGTCTCTTCTGCAACCAAGGTGAGATTTAGATTATTGTATTAAGCGAATTGGATAATCTACATTCAGTCTCCTATAGTATAATTGTGTGTTCACTGTTGCTTATAATGCAGAGTTGCTAGTATAGGCTTACTTATAGTGGTGCCCTGAATGGAAATAGGGGAGTGAACGGCTTTATTAAATGAAATAAAAGTTTCACAGTTAAGATGCATACAAACATAGAAACCATCGAACTGAAGAGCCTAAACATTTAGCAAAATGGTAAACATTACATTCTAATAAAGATATAAAAGTCCAGGAACAGTGCAATTTTATATTCCCTTGATGAATTACTGGACTCTCTTAGATCCAAAATAGACAAAAGCAAACCAAAACTTTTATATAAATGACAGAAATTTCACAGCCAACAGTTACTTAAGTACATGAACAATACCTAATAATAAAAAGTTAAATCTGACTCCTGGAATGAGTCTTTTGAAGTTTGAAGTTGTCTGTGGGTGGCAACATGAAGCTATTTCCAATGCATTTGTGTGCACCAGACATAAAAAGGAGTCAGGGTGGGTGGGGTGGCTAGTTTAAAGGGGGGTCAACAGAACAGCAGTTGTTTTGGGGGATGAGGATCTTGGACAGCAGGCCAGCGGCGACTAGAGCGGTAACAAAAAACCACTGGAGAGACAGAAGCAGAGCAAGAGGAGCGCAAGTGTTCATACGACAAAAGGCCTCACTGTCGCCAGACCTAATCCACATGTGTTACTCACTCTCCCTCTTTCTCTGCCTCTTTTTTTCCACAGATCTAAACTACTGCACTCACCACAAACCCTGCATGAATGGAGCCACTTGTAGTAACACAGGCCAGGGCAGTTACACCTGTTCGTGTCGCCCGGGATTCACTGGAGCCAGCTGCGAAATCCAAGTCAACGAATGCGCTGGAAACCCCTGTCGCAATGGAGGGAGCTGTACGGTAAGCCTGCTAAAAAACAGATTAAAAGATACATAGTTTAAACAATAGGCAACATGTGGCACAGTGACAGCAGTGGGTAGCACTGAAAATGACTTGTTGAGTAACTGTTGTTGTAACAGTAAGCTGAAAAGGGCTATTCATGGGGTTCAGCCTCCTGTTATTGGTGACATTTTGAGTACTTTTCACCATTTATAGATATAATATTTTGGTTTAAATTCACAAACAGTATAGAAACAGTCCGACTTTTTCATCATTCTGAAATCATAAATAGCAGTGGTTTTCGAACATTTCAGCCAGCTAAGCTCTAAAACAGGACTATTCTAGGTGTAAACCAGGTCTAAAATTAGATTACAAAATTGCTCCTCTAGTTCCAAAAAAAAAATGACCTAAGGACCAAAGGATGAAAAGTGACTCTAAACCAGATGGAGATAAAATACTTTTGTTTAAGTGAAAGCAATATATTATCCTTGGCACTTAATCTGTAAATGTAAAAACAAATAATGTGGACAGTTGCAAATTTTGTACTTTTTTTGCTTTAGTCAACCTGGCATGTCGACCTGATGATTTATTCTTTCCTAAAAATACAAATGAGCGCCAACTATCACATTTGGACATCATGTAAAGTTATACTCTCTTCCTTCTAAAGGATATGGAAAACACATACAAGTGCACTTGCCCACATGGTTTCTATGGAAACAACTGTGAGCTCAGTGCCATGACCTGTGCTGATGGGCCATGCACCAATGGGGGGCGCTGCAGCGATAACCCTGACGGAGGCTACTTCTGCCAATGTCCCAGCGGCTACGCAGGCTTCACCTGCGAGAAGAAGATCGACCACTGCACCTCCAGTCCCTGCTCCAACGGTGAGAGACTACAGCCCGACTAGTCCAGAATCTGGCAACAACGTTTTTTTTTTACATTTTTTTAATAGATTATAAAACACTTCTCTTATAAGTTTTGTGTGTTTGATTGACAGGAGCTCGCTGTGTGGACCTGGTGAACTCATACATCTGTCAGTGTCCGGAAGGCTTCACGGGGATGAACTGTGACCACACGGGCGACGAGTGTGGAACATACCCCTGTCAGAATGGAGGCACCTGTCAGGAGGGTCTTGATGGCTACACCTGTACCTGCCCACCTGGCTACACAGGCCAGAACTGCAGCTCACCCATCAGCCGCTGTGAACACAATCCCTGTCACAACGGAGCCACCTGCCATGAGAGGAACAACCGCTACGTGTGCGCCTGCGCCCCGGGTTATGGTGGACGCAATTGTCAGTTCCTTTTGCCTGAACATGCGGCTGTGCGGGGGTCAGACGTGCCCTGGATGGCTGTGGGCTCTGGGGTGGCTCTGGTCCTGTTACTTTTAGCAGGCTGTGCAGTACTGGTCGGGTTTTACCGCTCCAAAGCTCAGCGTGGAGGGCCAGTTGAGGTCACTGGTGAAATCGAACCAATCAACAACCTCAACCTGACCAACAACTGTCACCGCAGCGACCGTGACCTAGCGGTGAGCGTCATGCCCATGCCTGGCGTCAAAAACATCAACAAAAAGATGGACTTCAGCAGCGCAGACCCAGAGGAGGGCTCCTCCCCAGGACGCAGCAGCTACAAAAGCCGGCCCCTCACCGGAGACTACAACCTCCAGGAAGTGCACTATGACCACAGCGCCAAAGACTCCATGTTAGAGGCTGCCTGTGACGACAAGTGCCACTCACTCGACTCCTTTGAGTTTGAGGAGAAACCAAGCAAACGATTAAAATGGTACATATTTCTCTCCTTAAATTGTATGTGTTACTCTCTAATATAATGTAATAACTGAGCTCATCTTTCTGTTTCCCAACAGTGATGCTTCAGAAAAGAAAGCCCCAGAACTGTCTGCATGTGCGGACACCAAGTACAAATCTGTGTTTGTCATGTCGGAGGAGAAGGACGAATGTATAATTGCAACAGAGGTGAGTCCCCATTCATAGACTTGTGTTGTTTGTAGTCCTTACCTGAGTCACTGCTCCTATGATAGTGCTGTATGCCTGTAGTCCATACCCTGACCTGTGCCTCTTGTCTCCACAGGTATAGAGCTGCATTGGCTGCCCGTTGCACATTGCTCTATGGAGAGTTTTAACTCCTCAGATGCTGCTGAACCCGGGGGGATGTCCCGCCTTGAGACTGCTGCTGATAGTTTACTGATATTCAGATGAGCTGGTTCTCTACAGGAGGCTGAGCGCAGGGGCGCGGCCTGTGGGAGGAGGACTGGCGGGGTAATATTATGGTCATAGAACCACTAGCTTTCACTGCCTTTTTCGGGAAAGGGGTAAACGATGTAATGGACTCATGCTCCAGTTTCTGCAACATTTGCACCCAGGCCTTTTCTGCCCCACGCGCCGAGGCTGAGCGCTGCATGGATGTGATGTTTGGCCATAGTGGCCTAATGTACTGATCACTGTGTAACTGAAGTGTCTCCAAACCCCATGACATAGTATTGTTCTTTTCTCTTCTTTTGGACAGAAACTTTGTCTTAATTACATATGTTTTTGATACAGATTGCCCTTTTGTAAAATACTGAAAAACAAGAAAAAGATTTAAAGTTATGATTTAATTTAAGTTAATTTAATTATTTGTGTTGTTTTATTTGATATTGTATATTTGTGATGTTTGTTATCATTATTTAAGTTGCTTTTTATTTTAATTATGATATTTGCAAAGGCACTTCAGGTCAATGGGACTTTTTAATAAAATGTTATTTAAATGGGATTGTATTGTACAAATGTTATGTCACTGTGTCCTTTACCATTTGTTGAATGAAGGAATTAGCCAAGACTATTTTTCCAAATAAATATTGATAAATGTGATTCTGTGACTCTGCATTGGTGCTTTGGTTGGGAATAAGGACTCACAGGTTTCAGCTTTCTGTTATACGGTGTCATTTAAGGGACATTCATTTATTCAAATGACATAATATATTTTAAATTGTTAATCACTATGGCAGCAGTCCTTAAACACATGAGTATCATAGTAGGAATTATTTAATATATGTATATACCGAAAATCTTCTTCCTCTAAAACTAGCCCTTTAAAGTTGTTTTTGGAATTGGGTGGAAGCAGTGCTGTAAACAGACTCCCCAGTGAGACATCCATCTGAATTTTAGGGCCATGAATTACCTGACTTTCTTTGGGGCGCGGAGGTGGGAGGGGCCAGGGTGGTGTGGGGGCATTGTTTTTGGTGAATGGGCCTCTGTGCGTCTCCACGGCGACACTCGGAGCTCGTGGCAGCAGAAAAACTCACCAAGGGGTCCGGCCGCCAATACAACAGATGTTCATGATTAACTTTGTTCACAGGAGCACACAGCCTCACTGCAAAAAACAGACTGCATGACTTTAAAAATGGAAGTTGTTTTGACTAGATTTGACCACTTACATTTACTATTAGGTACATTTGGTTGGGACAGGTTTTCACTTTTTTTCAGAAAACGCCTACTAGAAAGTGTTTTATTTGTTTTCTAACTTTATTTAAACATGAGGTTTCATTATGATTCAGAATCTCTGAACACACTGCAAAAAAGTCTGCATGACCTTAAATCTCAGAAAAAAAAGTTGTTGTTGTTGGGCAGGTATACAACAACTCACAATACAACTGGATACAACTGCTCACCTACGAAGAACTGGGTCACCTGCCACTAGAAACATCTTCAGTTTGCTGTGGAGAAGAATAAAAAACAATATGACACTGAAATAGCTCAGCAAAAAAACAAGAGCAAAATCACATGGCAAGGTGGCAATTAAGTGGTAGGAAACACCTTACCTGAAAACAACCAGACCCTGAATTGACTGTATACGTTATTTGTCAATAGAGCTGTTACCTGGAGAAAGTGATGCATGGCAACCCGCTGCTACCTGTGACAGAACCAGCGCTGGAAGAGCCTTAAGGATCTTGTCAATCTAATTTAACCTATCCTGAGCTCCATAATAAGTAGGGAGGCCCCCCAGCTCCAAATGGATCCCTACAGAGTAAGACACTAGAGGGAGCCCTCAGCCATCAGAAGACTCCAGAGCTTAGCAAGAAACTGCAGACCTAAGACGACCCACCAGGGTGACCAGAGGCGTATCACCTCAGCGGTACAGAGAGGTCTAGAGCTGTGTCACTTTGGTCACTGGGACAATGACCATTTTTGCAGGCAGGGATGTAACTGGTAGTTTTACCAGCTTGCTTTTTTGTTGCCTTTTGGTCGCAGTGTGGTTTGGGTGTATGTGACACAGTTTGTTTCTGTCTCACCCTGTAAGGTAAATGTTCATCCTTATTAATTTTGGCTAATACTTCCATGAAAAACAAATTGAAGATAACCACACTTACTTGTTGAAGATCAGTCAGCATATAACTAATGCGTCTCTTTGTGGTCGTTTCCCTCCCATAAGGTGTGTGTATGTGAGAGTGAGTGATCCATACGACGGGTGGTGGCAGCACAACCACCCCCACTGTTATCAGCACATGCTCCGCCTGCCTAACACAGCTACAGAGATGGTCCCATCATCAGATCCCCAACCTCTGTCTCAGACCCTAACACACCTGCACTTTAGTAGCTACTCCTCATTTTAACTGGACTTTACACATTTTTGTTTTGTAAAAAAATAAATTATTTTCTGTGACTTTGTTTCTGTCTCTGCTCATTTGACAACTGGTCTGGGAAAACACACACACACACACACAGAGAGAGAAAGAGAGAGAGAGTAGAGAGAGAGAGAGAGAGACAGAGACAGACAGAGACAGAAGGAGAAATTGAGAACTACAAAAGAGTATAAACATAAAAGATAGAAGGGGTTGAGAGAAGAGAGGAAGGGAAAAAAGGTTGAAGGATTGAGAAAGTGAGAGAATAAGATGGATGGACAGATAAGGAGAGATAGAGAGGAGGAAGACGGGGGAGTGAGAGATAGAGATAACTAAAAGGATTTAGAGAGAGAGAAGAGAGGGGGCGTGAGCACGAGATTGAGAAGGAAGGAGAGAAAAATAGATGAACAAACAGTGAGCTAAAGAGAGGGGGAGTAAGAGAGAAAGATTTATAAATGGACTGACAAAGAGAGAGCAAAGTTGAGAGAGGAAGAGAGAGAGAAAAGAGAGAAAAAACATCATACATTAAAGCGTTTTTTTTTTTTAACTAAAGTGACCATATAGTGTATCTGAACAAATAGCCTTAGACTTATGGAGGCACTGACACAAGTAGACAATGATGGAATTGACAATGGTGCACTGACAAAGGCTGTCCCTCCCTCGGCATGCTGGGTAATGCAGGCTCATTGGGAAACAGATGTGCCGGAGGAACAGATGCCTCCTGGCCACAGCTCAGCCTCCTTCAATGGGACACACAGATACAAGCTGTTGTGGTGTATAAAGGAGATAAAGAGGGGAGATAAGCAAGAGACCAGAGTGCGGACATTATGGAGTTAGTATAAGTGCATGCGTTCAGTGTAAAATAACTGTAAAAGTGTATTGTTGTTTTTATTACCTCCGCCAAGGAGGTTATGTTTTTGCCGGCGTTTGTCTATTTGTTTGTTTTGTTAGCAACATAACTCAAAAAGTTATCGACCGATTTTGATGAAATTTTCAGGATTTGTTGGAAATGTGAAAAGGAAGAACTGATTTCATTTTGGGGGTGATCCAGAAGAAATCCTGGATTCTGGATCACTTTGAAATTTTAGTTAACATTGTGGTAAATGGGACCAAAAATTTTGTTTCTCAATATCTCGGTTAATTATTGACCAAACCCCATGAAATTTGACTCAGGGATGGACAATGGGATCCTCTTTCATATTCCAAAGGCTGATCTGGATCTGACCCAGAAGACTGATTTTATCACAATTGATATAAAAAATGGGGGTAGTCCTTGGTGGAGGTCTGCGCTCTCTGAGTGCTTTTCTAGTTTTTTTCTGCATTATTTTAAACAAAACAACAAAAAGTCATAGGGTAACTTTCTGGATTTTGAAAGACAACTGCCTGATTTCATGGAAATAAAACATTAAAACCATACTTTTCTTGATGGTCCTCCACCAGGCCAAATAAGAGTCTGTTTTGTGGAGATACAAGCCTGCTCACAAGGAAGCATGTTTTAAGAATATAATAAATAAAGCAAACATTTAGTACATGTTGAGAATCAGCTTTTAAATTGCATAGCTGTCCTTTACTTTGGTCAAACTTTAGTTTGATCTATTTACAAAATATAGGCTGTATAAGTAAAAGCATACAAAAATCATAAATATTTAAAAATTACAACTTTTACTATAGCCATGACTAATTTTATCCAGCTAAAAAGTAATGCAGTATAAACAAGGGTTTAAGTTCCTAATACTTTTACTTCATTAAAAATTAGCTTTTACTTTAGTGCAGTTTGTACTTGTAAAGGAACTAGTATCCCTTACACAATTAGTTATATAGGCCTATAGCCTATGTAAAATGTCTATTAGTAATATGGTGTAAAAATAAATTGGCTTGAATAAGCATTTTTGAGTGGTTAAAACTAAGCTTCTTCCTATCCAAAATACTGCATTACATTACTTAAAGATATGTTATTGAAAGCACCAATTTGTCCAGTGAGAGCTAAAACAAATACCAGGGGTGTCAAACTCAAATTCACAGAGGGCCAAAATTAAAAACTAGGATTAAGTCATGGGCCAAACTAAATATTTATTGAAAAATGTCAACAACATCTGCATGTTTTTTCTTCTTTCGACATATGTAATATTAAACTGTTTCTTATTAAAATAAATATTTAATAATAGTTTTGCTTAAACATTGAATCCAGAACAAGCATCATATATATAATAGCAACAAAATTTTAAATAAATAATGTCTCTATAGTCTATCTGTAGCCGGCGGGCCAGCTCTAATACATATTTAATATGATCTTGCGGGCCAAATATAATTATATCATTGGCCAAATTTGGCCCCCAGGCCTGAGTTTGACATGTCAGCCTTAGACTCTGCTGTTAGTCAGTCATTCACAATCCCATTCATTCTCATACATTACATGGGTAATCCCTGTATTCAAGCCTGTTGCCCTGCTGAGAAGAATATGCAGTAAACTCCATTGTTAACATGCATTAGCAGCTTTTGGGTGTGGAACTATCAGCCAGTCATGACACAGAACAAAATACAGTCTCTATGACTAAAGGTGTATGTTGGTTCTTTCTGTAATTTGAAGTTTGTTAAACACAAAATCAGACAGGAGACATTGTTTGGCCAGAAGCCATAGAAGACTTTTATTTGGAGAAAGAAATCTTTGAAATCACTCATTTTTAAAATTCAATTAATTCATCGAGTACGACATCGAAGATCTCAGAAAAAGTTAAAATCATGCCTTTAGCTTTTTACAGAAAACATGTGGTTTTACCATGACTATAAAATGACCGTTTCTGTTCGGACATATTTTTACCTTTGTTAAAGAAATAATGTAGAAAAACAATTATTAAGTTCCCTCCCAATGAAACAAAAACAGAAAGGCAAAACACAGTACATTACAATGCGCTGACATGGCTTTAAGCACACATATACAGTACTGTACAAGGGTCCGCCTCGACAGATGCACCAAACTTCACTCAAACACTTCAGCCCTTCTCTGTGGAGAGAAGCAGGCCTCAGAGGCTGCACTCAGCACCAAGTTTAACACAAACGTTAGCTTTAGCCTAGCTCCCTTTGTGGTTAGCTTTAGCCTAGCTCACTTTGGACTACAGCATCACAGTACCGACCTGATGGAGGATACAGTGTGCAGAGGCCTAGGCCTGCTCCCAGAGAAGAGGCCTTTCCACATCAGACATTTCATGTCAAATAGCCTATTATAGTGAACTCCAGACAGAAGGGATTTTAATATGTCTTAGCTGGGTTCACTTGTATTTAAAAGTGAAGTTAAGTTGAATTTTAGGCATATTTTCTTGTCACTTGTCAAATCTGACAGTGACTAAGGTCCATATTAAGCAAGTTTCAATTAAAGGCTCTTACGCTTCAGAAAATTACAGAATATTATAGAATGCTTCGACTCACAAACATTAAGAAAAAGCTGGGACACAAGGATTTAAAAATCACCTTTTAGGTGTAAAAAGGAACTAAAAAACAATCTTAGGCCAAATACTTCTGGGAACAACATCAAGGTCTAAGTTACACTATGTGCAAACTCAAGTGTGCATAGAGATCAGATCTAATAAATATTAGAGTGGCAGCTCACACTGTCACCGCTTTGACTTAGTCAAAACTCAAGGGCTGATTGTACATGTTATGATTAATTTAGTTTTACTAAAACATTACAAAGTCTATTTCATAGTGCTGCAAGATTTTTTTTTTCCATTTTTTTAAGCAACAAACACTTCCCATGTTTTAAAGATCCCAAAAAGACGAACACAAACACTCAATAGAAATCCTGAAAAAGTCATTGATTTGTCTTGATTTCACCTGGTTCACTTTTGTGAATGGCTCTTATTTTAAAAAGATTTTTAAGCTTTAAGCCTTATTTCTGCATCAAAGAATCACATGAGCAACAGAGGACAGACTGAGCGCTAAGCGATGTACAGGACTTTACACAAGGATTTAGTAAACTATCTTAGCTTTCACTGTTTCGGATGTAGCTTACAGATGTGGAGCACAATGCCTGTCTTTGGACCACAGAGGTAATCATAGGTGTGTGTGGATGTGTAAAACTTGCCGAAATGTTTCCCAAACATTTCAGGAGGATAGTGTCCATCCTGGTTCGAGGTATATGATCCTGGGGCCGACCGGTGGCGCCGTGGAAAATGTTAAAAGCTGTTTTGATGATGAGGTGAAGGTCATTCACAACACTGGACCCCCCTTACCCCCCTCCCCCCTCCCCCCAGACCTCTGTGATGTGAGAGCTTCCATTACACTACACTGCTCTTCTTCATAGCATCATTCAGCAACTGTGTTGCTCTGCTCTGAAATAGCTTCATTCACTTCAATTCAACCAATTCAGGATCTGTAAATCTGTAAAGTCCCCGTAGCCTTGTGAACAGGCTTACAAAAACTATTTTCAGTCCTTGTAAGTTTTTTAAAGTGACAAATCTTAGGGAAAAAACATCTTGTAAGTGGTCTGTTGAGGGTACATGAGGAGGTATTTGTGTATGAGTGTGAGTGAGGTACTTAGGCAGTGATAAAACATACTCTTGAGTTCCTATAGTACTGCATTGTATTGAAAATAGAGGAAGAGTAACGGTTTGCATTGACCAGCCAGAACTTTATGACCAGGTTTTAAAAAAAACAACAACCAAAAAAACAAAACAAAAAAAAGGTTTTCATGATGCACAGTGGCAGAGTGGTTAGTGCTAATGTAAGAATGTTTAGAATCATCTATATTGGCTAATGATAGCAAATGACTTGGTCCTGTTATAGCTCTGGTTTAGTCCAGGTTTAGTTCTGACTTAAAACAATTTGTACAATACTTAAATTACTTTTTTTGAATTCTTTGTGTTTAATTAATCTACTATATTAAACACATATTCAATTGGTGCCCAAAACCATAACTTAAAGTGTAATTAATTAAAGTGTAATTAACTTGTTGCTTGGTGGCTATTGCTTAAACTTAAAATTCAATCAAAGAAGCATCTATTTAACTTTAACCATATCCTTTCCATTCATATAAATTCACCTATATACATTTCTGTATAATTTTTTTTCTCATAGATTTGACATAAATTCAGATTAAACTCTTGATAAAACTTCACAGGATAATAATCTCTCGTAGGGTTAAGAAAAACATTGCATTTTTAATCTACAACTATGCACCAAAAAATTAAACCACGATGTGTCAGGTCAGATTTCTATGGTAGTATTTGCCTTTAGACAAAATTAAGATATTTTTGTCCTGGCTTATGGTTAATATCTCTGTTTCTACTGGACTTATCCACATGAAAGAAATACTGGTATACAGTTCAACGTTTTCTCTATCAAAACAAATTAATTCAAGTGAAATTGTGTTTTCACAATAGCCTCTAGAAGTGGTGGTATTATTCAATCACAGAAGAATGATTGGTATCAAATTCATTACTTTATGCCCTTTATGCCATAAGATTAATATGGCAAAATGAATAGGCCTATGGTTTGTGACAGATAAGTTTGGGTATTTCTTTCAAAAGCTGTAAATCGCCTATAGAGTTATATAAGTTTCTGTCCTCCATCTGAAAATATGGCAACCTTTTCTACACCATGGTCATGTAACCTATTCTTCAGGAAGTTTGGAAATTTTTACTTGAAAGATTTTGTTAAAAAATACTGAATTAAAAATGCAACTCTACAAAGTATCCAGCAATATAAATATCTATAGGTGATCTATTATAGCTTATCTGATTAACCATGGCTTTCAGCGCGATGAAAAGTCAGGACTGTTGCTAGCTAAATATTCTTTCTTTGAATGGTCAAGAGTCCTTAAAATGGTACCCGCAAGAGGAAATTGAAACCCATGAATATATATATACTATACTATATTTTAGCCTGAGATTTATACTGGTCATAATGATATGGCTGGTCTATATATGTGTACATGCAGGTCCTTTATTTAATAGTATTAGCACCAACACTGTTTTGGCCACAGTTAAAATATTGCACAAGAGTTCAGCTTATGTTAAAAGAGGTAATGGTTGGATAACAGTAGAATGTGCGATCCAAAGAAAAAACTGCTTATAAAACTGTAGAAAATACCCGTGCAGAGGAGACCAAGTACATTTTGTTTTTCCTTAAAATTTGTCACTTTATGTGAATTTTTAATTTAGTTTCTCTCGAGTCACATTATACTTTGATTGACAGGTTTCTGTAGATCAAACACGATCCCCACAGTGTAGCGCTAATGCTAACGTTACCTGTGTGCCATTATTACTACAGTTAATGGGCTTCTATGTGACAGCTGTCAGAAATGCTAGCTGCTCGGGCTATTTCACATTTAACCAGATTAATAATAGATCTAGTATACCCTATTTCCATACCTAATGCCTTGGTTAGTTGCAATAGTACTTTGTCCCTGGACATGTATTATATGGGGCGTACAAAGTAGATGTGGCTGTGAAATGCACGTAAAACTATTAAAACATTAACAAAAGCTACTATGTATGTCAGATTAGACTGTCCAGTCACTACAAAGTTTCAGATAACCCACTCCTTATCTACTAATCCGTATTATCCAAATCAAATATTTTTTTTCCATGTAAAAATTTCAATGCCTATCGACCAAGTCAATCTGTTCTAAATAGTCTTTTACTTGTGTGGGGTTTCAGTCATGCTCCATCACAGCACTAAGTGAGGCACATTATAATGAATTAGCAAGTTTATGTGATATAAAAAGAGAGAGAAAGAGAAACAATTTTACTTGTATTTTTTGGTGTTTTGATCCTGAATATGTTGAATAATTTGTGAATGAAGTGAATTTAGCATTGCCCCCTCCCACCCCATTATGCTAACCCTTTTCGTGACTGCTTTATGTTGCTAACCTCTTTGGTGACTCCAGGTGTCTTAAACAGGGTTCCTACTCTTAACCTTCGCAAAAAAAAAAAACTATTATATTTGGCTATTTTGTTTATATAGCCTATGTTCTATGGCTGTTTAGCATTAATGATTGTTAGCGATGATTACAGCATTAATGTCACAACACAGAGCAATGACAGCTACGTTTTTTTTTCTTTTAAAACTACAATTTACATCTTAAAAAACAAGGTCCGTGTCCATGTTGAGTTTTTCAGTTCCTTCTTTAGGGGAAAAGTGCTGGGATATATGCAGTCCGTGCAAAAAAGTGAACATTTTCCTTACAGTATGGTTTCCATGACAACTCGGCACCACTGTGACTGCAGTAAAATGTATAGAAGGCTATAGTTAAAATGAAAGCTTTGCACATGCAGCAAGGAAGTATCTATGAATATCTATGTAATTTTACATGGAGGACTTTATTTTTTGAGCCAATATACCACCAGCTATATTATGCTACCTGTAAATTAAAAAAATATATAATGTGTGGCTAGAGGCAGCTTTCCATCTTAGACAAAAGAAACAACCAAAATCCATTCTAATGTAATACAATATCAATGTAATTTGGAATAGTGTAAAAATCCAAATATGTTTACTTGCTATTTCACAATCTGTAATAAATTACATTTAACTAAGAAATGGTCAAATTGATGCGATTGACAGATTTAAAGGCTACAACATTTATATTCTAGTTTCAGTGCAATATACTATTAAATTGAAAACACCTAATTATCAAATTGATAAAAACATGCTAATTGCTACATCATTCTTAATCTACTTTGACAGCTTTCAGCTCACCTCATTTGGAAAAAGTGCCAGTTAGACTAGCAGCATTACAACTGCTAAAATGTTCTTTGGGTCACTGCACATAAAATAGTGCTTGTAACAAATAAAGTGTTTTAAATCCTTTTTCACTGAAGCAATGAAGTATGTCAAAATGGACACAGACCTGAAGATGAATTTTTTTCTAGGGGTTTCTTCCCAAATGTCTTGTGCAATTTCCTATTTAAGATCCTATAAATGTACATGTTGCCTGTTTGTAGGAACCCTGAAATGTGTCTTTAGCTGTTCCCACCACAAGAATGAGGCTGAATTTGACTAACAGTTTCTTAAGTGTACTTTACGTGGGTGCCATATTGGACAGGTCAACTGTGCAGTCAAATAATATTGGCAGTGGTACATACACATCATGAGATTTCAAATTTTTCACAAAAGTTGTCATTAAACATTATTACATTGTGTTGACCTGCCCAATGTGGTGATTCAATGATATCTGTGTATTTAACTAAATTCTTATAAGAGCTGTTGAAAGAGAGTTTTGCAAGTTTTGATGCCCATAGGTTCTCTCATTTTGGCAACAACCAATGACTGCTACATGTGAAATGCTTTGGGAACTATAAGCTTTGCCTATAGAGAAAAATCTAAATCTAAGTGCAATTGCTGGCAAGACTTATTGTCTGTAATTACTTTTTGGTCATACCTGCCAATCAAAAACATTCAATTCTTCACATTAAAATTTTGTGTATTTTCTTATAATTCACTTCATAAAGCGAATGGGTCTGACTGCTCAGTCTATTATTTAATTTACTATAGATCATAGCATAATCTTCATTTTCAGGGACATGACACTTGAAACTATTGAGAGCAGCAGAGAACTTGCATTGTCCTTACTCTCTTTCATGGCTCTTGTTTTGGGCTAAATATGTCTACATTCCCCCTCCCTCCCATGTGTGATCACATCCTGTGCCTAAGAGGTGGGCGCCCCGTGGCTGGGCATGTTGGCCATGCCTCCGACCATGCCCTGGTTCGGGGCCATACCTGAGGGCCCGCCCAGTGCCGGGGGACTGTGCTTGGTGCTTGGTGAGGTCATGTCTCGTCCCGGGGCCTGGGGGGCGCTGTGGTGCGCATGCTGCAGGGCGTGGCGCTCCAGGAGGGTGCGGTGAGTGAAGGCGCGGTGGCACACGTTACATTGGAAGGTGCGCTCTGCTCGGTGCGTGCGCATGTGCACGTTCAGGGAGCTCTTCTGAGTGAAGCGTTTGCCACACATGGAGCACTGGAACGCCCTGACACCTGTGTGCACCACCATGTGTTTGAGGAGGTAGTCGCGCAGTGAGAAGGACCGCCAGCAGATGGAGCACTGGTGAGGTTTCTGACCTGCACAGGGTAAAAACGTCCATTGTTAGGCCTGTGATTACTATATTGATTTAACATTAAACAAATAATACATGGAACAATCATTTTTGGGGGTCCATATTTATCATGGGTGCTTTTTATTTGTAAAAGTGGGGAACTCTTTTGTACTAAAGTACGATTTGAGCTAATAAATACACTGACTCATCACATGTTAGTAATTAACTCATGATTTTTAATAATATTGCATATTTACAATATCTATATTTCTGGGGGCATTTCAATATGATAATTTATCATCTATATTTTCTTCAGCAATAGATCCCACTTTAAAATTTGTTATTGTGACAGGTCTATGTGCCTGTGTCACTGTTAAAGGTTAGCATGAGCTACATCATACATGATGAAAACAATGATATTTGCTTAAGAGATAAGACTTGAACAAAATGTACAAGGGCCACAGAAGTTTCCTGAGTCTTATCATGCTATGTGTGATTATCCATCTGTAACTTGCTGACCACTGCCAAATATTTAAATACTGATTTATGGCTTGGCTAAGTCTTCATTGAGAATGAATGGAGCAGGAAGAGCACATCCGCACATTTTGAGATAACCGGAACTAAGCAGCAATGTGACAGGCGGCTAAACGCTTAAACATGTCACATATTAAACCAAGACAAACAAACAATTTCTTTACTTGCTGGAATACAGGCTTAAAGACATTTTGTCAACTATATAGTACAATCTATGATGCCCGTGGATCAATATAAATAACAATATTGGTCTAAAACGACCTAATGAAAGAAACAAGTCTGCTGATTGGAAAATTGCAGAGCCCAATAGCCCCTGGTTCCAGAAGTTAGCTATGTGGTAACTAATGATCACAAGACCTTTTATACTTATTTCTGTATCTATTTCTGTTAACTTGTAAAACAATTTGCATTATTGTGCATTTCAAATGGCCATTTTGGACTTCAGAAATGTCTATGCGATAAATGAAAGGAAAATTTTCTCCTGGGACCAGAGCAGACTTCAAAGTGGGAGGGACATTTGAGTTTCATTATGATCCTTTCCCTGCTTGCCCCAGTACGGCTAGTCACTGTAAACAGAGCTGAATCCTACATGAATAAAGAACTAAAATTAGGGAACAAAGTATGTTGAAAATGAGATGATGAAAATGCGGGGAGAATGGACAAATGATGTCTAGAATGCAGGATAATAAAGATTATTCAAACATGCATGAAACATTCTAAATACAACTTCGAGAGGGTTAATGAAAAGGGAAAACAATTATAACATGTTTAAAAGCTCTGAAAAAGTTGATTTTGCACAATATGTCTCCTTTAAAGGAAGTATTCCGGCACAGCTTGAGCTCACAAACAACAGCCGGCTGTAAAATGTAATGTAAACGCTATAAGAGTTTAGGCCCTGAGGTCGTCCTTCCAACAAAACAGAGAAACTTCCTTAAGTACTATCAGCTGTGAAATTACTGCAGAGCACTTAAGAGTTTGAAGGAGTCTGAAAAGTTGGAACTTATGGATTGCTACTACTACTGCATAGCCTATTTGCAAACCTTACTTTATCAAGCAAATTCTAGCTCTAAAGATCTATAAAATGGTAAGACATGCCCAAATTCTAAAAATCATACTTTTACATAATATAAATAATATTAATGACAACGGCATTAATGATTAAAGACAAAACTTAACTCCTCATCCAAACTAATTTATCCAGTTTATAATTTGAAAGAATACTTTAACAGCATGCCTTAAGCTGTAAAAACATAACCTATTATGTTTCCAGACACAGGTTCACACAGATTTGAATGCTCATTCCCAAAACCCCAGTATCTTTAATTGTGCTTTTGTAGTCTCCAGCTCCAGTAAGAGCTCAGTGACTGTCAGTGGGTTTGAACCAGTATTGTTCAAACATTGAAACCAAGACATATATAAAAGGCTCCAGGACTTCCCTGAAAAAGAGATTCCATATATCAGTGGGACTGACCTGGTCAAATAAAGGTAAATAAAAAAATATACCACAATTTGAAACACAGATGATGTTAGGGTCATGGACTGGTGGTCAATACCAGAGGTTTCAGTATAGATATTTCCAATCTGTCACTGTGACGAACAAGGTTCAGAAACATCTGTCATAAAATGTTTGCCATAAAATGTTTCCAACATGCGTGCGCCACATCCTTGGTCTTTTTAAAGGCAAAAAACAAATCACATTCTCACTATGAACTCAGATTTCGTTGTTATAGATGTAAAACAGCTTCTTTGTATATTGTCCCTTTAAACATAGTAGTTAAGTAACACCACTGTAAAACCAGGCAATATCCAGTGATTTTATGCATCTACCTGCAGAGCACACAGACACATGCATGTAACCGCCAGTGTCCATATCCTCCTGCTGCCACACTATTCTCTGCTCTTACCTGCCTTTTATGATCTAAACTTGCTTTCTGTCCATGTTATGCTATAGATGTGGATCACATACTGTAAAGTGAGAATGAGAAAACCTGGGCCATATCACATTGCTGGTTATATATTGTGATAGAGTATGATATGAATTTGGAATATCATGACACAACTGATCAGCTGATTTTCATCTCAGTTGTGAAGGGAACAGGCAGAGATTGTGGGTCATTTCTAAACCTAAAGCCCAGAGAAACTTAAGCCCAATTTATGGTCCAGCGTCAAATCGTCTGCATCAGGACGGAGAGAGTCTACGTTGCTGTGAGCCCCCTCTGCAGAGCCTCTGCGTCAACTGACATGCACCTCCAAAATTTTCTAACTACGCGTCGAAACGACACAGATCCTAGCCTCCTAGTGTTGTGGTGGTGAATTACTTTGCAGCGCACAGACCTCAACGCGGATCCATAAATCAAAAAATGACAGCGACAAGGCGATGGTGGCAGTGTGCGTTGAGTAGGCCTGGGTATCATTAAAAGATTGCCAATACGATACATACCTCGACACATAGGCCACGATACGATACATATCTCGATACAGTGCACTTTCAGTTTGAAATAATATATGTCAAATCAATTCGAAACCGTTCAGTAAAAAATAATGGCTAAATCATGGCTGTGATACTGAACGTCTTTGTTAAACCACTTTTTGTGCAAAGTTCATATGAAACAGACACATTTTAATCCTCAAAAAAGTGAAAATGTCAAATGTGTTGCATAAACAAGTTTCCTTCCTCTAAAAAAGCAACAAAACTGTAGCGCTGTAACAAAATTATTTAGTAAAATATACCAAAAAATACTCTTAGCGATATATCGATACAGCAGCCCACGATATCGATACTGTATCATCACAATAAATGATACGATATAGCAATATTTCAATATTTTTGCACACCCCTAGCACTGAGTCAACGCAGAACCATAATTCGCCCTTTAAACACAGCCAGCAACTAGCATCCTACTACTTACTTCCTGATTCCTGACTCTGACAATGAAACTCTTTAGATTAGACTTATTTTGACCTCAAGAGCTGCTTATACAGTATATTTGTTCGGAGGCAGGACAAATTTTCCTCAAATACATGGAAGGAAATTGGGTACAGGGCTTTTAAATTGCCCAACAAGAAGGCCAGACCTGTCCCACCAAACAGTGAAATATGTGTAAAATGCGAGTGACTTCTCACCGGAGTGGATGAACATGTGCTTGCTGTAGTTTTTCCGGGAGCGCAGAGATTTGCCACAGTGCGTGCAGTCGAATGAGGTTTCCGATCCCTGCGATGAGGGAGAGGGCCCCGCTGAACAGGATGAGGTGGAAGGGGGAGGGACCGGTGGCATCTGAGTGGGAGGCGGGGCCTGTTGATTAGGCTCTGCCCCGGCCATGTTGTCCATCCCCGTCATTGGTCCTCCCACGAAATATGGAGCGGGCTGCGATTGGCTCACTGGGTACTGGAACAAGAGCTGATGAAGAGAACATCACAATCTTTATTATTTATTATTATTAACAATTATTCATGATTATTGCTAGATTTCAGATGACATCACAACATTCTATAGGCCAATAATATATAATATAGATGGGGGTTAGCTAAAATAATAACTGTTAAAATGCAGATTTTTGTTGTGATACAATAAATTCTAGGTTTCAGTCACCAACACTGCCATGAGATATCCAAAAGGTAAATGCACAAAGTCCAGTGTATAATCAATAGTGCTGTCATGCGATTAAAAAAATTGAGAGATTAATTAATTATGATCTGTAATTAATTAATCTAATTAATCTCATTTTAATCTCACCTAAAAATTGCTGAGAAAAGCCTTCAATTTGAGGTATTTTCATTAAATTCATTATTACATTATTGTGGCAGATCAAAAGACTAATATAGATTTAAAAAAGTGACTTTATAAAGTCATTTATTGTTTAACAAATCTCTCCAAATTGGCTGTTGAGCCCAAGTCTCCATGAATAAGAAACTGTTTGTTGTAAAGCAGCAAAAATGAGGAAATCTGAACATAATAACTTTTGTCTACTTAAAGACAATAAAAAGTCCAGTCTTCCCTTAACCACATTAAAAATATTATTGATAGAGAAATGCTTTATATATGAGATCACTGGTTTTAGTCCTGGTTTAGACCTGGTTTAGACCTACTTTAGTCCTAGTTTAATCCTGGAATGGATTAATCCTGGTTTTAGTCCTGGTGTTAGTTCTGGTTTAGTCCTGGTGTTAGTCCTGGTGTTAGTCCTGGTTTAGTCCTGGTTTAGACCTGGTTTAGACCTGGTTTAGACCTGGTTTAGTCCTGGTTTTAGTCTTGGTGTTAGTTCTGGTTTAGAGGCGCACAGGAGGAAGCGCGGTTTACACCGCGTACGCGAGAAAACACGATCCACACGCGGCTCACGGGAGGACAGCGATGTCCGCGCAGTGTCTACGGAAGGAAACGTGGTCCGCGCGTTTTCAGGTTAATGACGATGATGAAGGTGTGTGTTTGTGTTTGTGTGTATTTGTGTTTGTGTGTATTTGTGTTTGTGTGTATTTGTGTTTGTGTGTATTTGTGTGTGTTTGTGTGCGTGTCCCCTCATGTGGCAGGTCACTATAGGACAGTAGTGCAGACATCATGAGCCTATGCAGGTTGTTTTCAGGCGATATTATATTAGTTATTTTCTTTTATATTTCACGTCGGGAGAATAATTTCCAAGACACGAATGTGTTTTTACCTGTGCACTGCTGCCTCTGTTCTACTGGCTCTTCGACCTCGTCCATTGTGCGACTGATGCCGCCAACGTTAACATGACGTTTACATCGCTGTTACTGCGCGTGTTTTGTGTGGCTTTCCGGCAATGAGTGGAATTACCGAAATAAAAAAATGTATAAATGTGTTTGTGTGTGTGTGTGTGTTGTTGTCCCAACAACACATAAAAACAGGTTTTATAATAAAGAAACTCACATACAGAAACACTAAAGTTAGAGATTAAAAATGAGATTAACGTGATTAAAAAACATAACGCGCTAAATATGACTGTAATTAATTAATCGTAATTAACGCGATAATTTGACACCCCTAATAATCAATAGAAAAAAAAAAGGCTCATGCCCCCAATCTGGAATTGCCACCATAACCAAAGAACAAATGAAATTCTTATTTTTCTTTATCTCACTGGAAGCCAGTGGTTACTGGCACTGCATCCAACAGATCAATTCGTGTATGCAAAACAACAGTTTGACAATGACTGAAGTCAAATCTAGGGGTAATAATAATAATAATAACAGCCACATTAAACCATTAACATCAACAGCTTTTAACCATCTAAAAATGTTGTATAAATTAAACTAAACCACACCTTTCCATGAGTTTGTAGTAGGTTAGAATACTATAATGGCCTACTCACTGTAAGACACCTACAGGACATCCAGGACACTGTTGCTTGGGCCCTGACTTTGAATTGTCGTAATTAGCAACTGGCACAAACTACAATTATGTGTAAACAACAAAAATATCCACACTTAATAATTATCCCCCCCAAAAAAAAAAAAAAAAAAAAAAAAAAAAAAAAAAAAACTGCTAACCCCGTCGTTTAGATCTCAAATTGCATGGGATTCTTGTATAGAGCTGCACCTAAATTTCATATTATATCATATTGATATTGCTATTTGCTATCATATTGGCAATGCTTAATTAGCGGTAATGAATGGCACTGAGTCCCCTGTTGGAGTTTTTTTTGTTATCAAATTCTATGATAGACAGTGGTTTATATTTAAATTAATTTGCATTAGCAACATTAGCAACCCTTATCTGGCATTGGGGTGTGTTTTTAAAGATTATAGATTGCTAAAATTGACAATACACAACCATAACATTTTTGAATTGTTGTAAGACAATGGTTAACTCATTCAAACAAAACCAAATGAAAAACATTTTAAAAAATGCAAAAATACTTTTGTAGCTTAAACATAAATCTTTAAATTAGCCTCTAGTCGTTTAGCTGCAGAAATCCACTTCTCCTAACAACCTGGAGCTTTGTAGGTCTAGTAAAAAAGGCTCTGATTTTCTTTAATGGTATAGCAGACATATTTTAGAATTGAATTCATCTATTCTAATCATAATTACAATGTTTATCACAATACTAAAATTTCACTAAATATTGTGCTAGAAATAAACCTGGCTTGTCTGCCTATTTATACACATTTTGATACCACAATTACAAAAGACAATACGATAATAATTTCCATGCCCATGCACACATCCTTGTCAATCAGCTTCCTAGATTACATTACACATACAGTGCCTGAGGAATAAACAGAGTGTCTTACCGGGTTGGTCATGGACTGTGAGGTTGGAGGCGGAGTCAGGGGCTTGTTGACACGCCCCCTAGGGTTAAACTGCATGGGCTGAGCTGGTTCACTTTGAGGCCAAAAACTCTCTGAAAAGACGCCCTGTTCATCATAGAAATCCTACAAAAAAAAAAAAAAAAAAAGCAGATGTCAAAATCAAATTACATGCAAAAAAGTTAAATGACTACAATAGAAGCTGGTGAGCCAACAGTGAAAATAGGGTTGCAAGGTTACTAGCAATTGATTCTAAATCACAATTAGTAAATGGGTGTATTTTTTTTTTATTTAATAATTAATTTCAACAACAAAACATGCAGAAAAGCTGCTAACCCTGTAGTTTAGATCTGTACAGACATGTTCTGAAATGTGATTCTTGTATTAGTTTGTCAGTTCATATATCAGTCTTTTTATTGAATTTTATCTGTGGAATCAGGATTTCTGAAAATAAATGTAAAAATGTATTACTATGGACTGAAACCATGGGTCAGAATTTAAAAAGTCCTGTCAGAATCAAAAATGACTTATATTAATCCCAAAGGGGTGATTCTTTTTGTTATAGACATGCAGCTGACCAGCAGAAGAGATAGAGTTATGTAACCTAGGGTTGAAATCAAATCCATTTCAATCCAGTCCTGGTTTTCCCATTTTGTTAGTCCAAACCAGTCTGGGGTTTTCTATGCTTATGCCACCAATGTAACAATTATTTGCAATTATTGACACTATGATCAAACAACAGTGAAAGCCTTAATCTTCTTTCATTTCCATTTTCTCACATGTTACCCTAGTGGCCTGGTTTATAAAATCTAACTTGAGGAATGAATGAAGTAAAGCTGCAACATAACCTGTCAGATGAAAAATGACTTTTTGTACTTTTTTGGAGCATATATTCTATGGAAATAACTTAATTTTGCTTCTAAAATTGCCATGATTATAATTTTTTAGCTTTTAAGATTATATTGTGACCTGAATAATCACTACTGAATCGACTACTTCATCCTATGTGATATGATGCCAATGATATTATTATTTTTATTTTATTTGAGAGTGGTATCATTTACAAACTTCATCAGCTTTTCGGGAGTCACAGCAGGAGGTGTAGCAGTTGATGCACAATGAGAAGAGTATAGGGAAAAGGACACAACACTGTGAACCCGTGCTGATAGGACTCCAGGTATGGTTTTAATTAGTCCCTTGCTGGGACAATTCTCGTCCCTCTGCTTGGGCCTATTAAGCGAATAGTGAAAGAATATAATATATAATATTATACTATTACACTGCTAACCTTTTTTAGGTTATATTAAAATTCCTGCTTAAAAAATGAATTCTATTACTTATTTATTTAGCTTATGTTTATCTTCTTTAGACAAAGCAAAAACTGCGCTAGCACAAGGAGATAATCCTTACGGCATACATTTGTTGGCCGGAACTCATACTCATTTTCTTTGCTCTATAGAACCACAGTGGTAACCTCTGCACCAATGTGACAATGCAGTGCTGATTTACCATCTTGTTCCACACAGTGAAGGGTTCTCTGTTTGACACAAACTGATTGTGAAGATATATCACTAACTATCATAAAATCATTACTCCTCTCTTTTCACAAACCGTCAACATGACAGAAGAGATGCACAAACATATTTTTTAAACTTTGTAGAAGAAGGTTGAGTTCTATGGTTTGGTGAAAGCCCCTGTAAATAAACACCCCCCAGTGAACCACTTGTGAAACAACAGTGGTTCATGAGTCACGTGACATGCTTCATAGAACATCTACAGGCTGGTTAATAGTCCAGTCAAGATCCTGTGTTAAAGTCATTCCCCCTTCAAAGCGCTATCACAACACAGTATGCACCCCCTAATGAAACTTCTGCATATTGCATTAGTTTTGTCAAGTTGCTGTGTACAATTTTGTATCATGTTTTTGTATATTTGTGGAGAATTATCATGTGAGAGCATGAATGAAGTGGGTTGTCTGGTTGTCTCTTTACTTGCCTACACCTATAACCACGGTCTGGTAGAAGGCTCTGTAGCCTGTTAATTTCTCCCACTACTCAAAGCTAAAGCAACTATTCCATAATCAAAATCTCTGGATCATTTGCTGGTATGGACATTTCAAACTGAACAAGAAATCCAAAGGACTTTTGCGTGGTGCGTGGATTCATTTCCTGAGTTTCCAAACTGAACTGAGAGAACTGCACTCTGGTTTTTGTTTTGGCTAAAGCCACCTCAAACTCCAACATCCAATAACATTGAATCATGGACAATTATTTGATTTAATTTGGTTTGCTTTATCAGTATATGTTTAGTTTAGTCCCTGCCTCCCAGCGGTTCTTCCTTACCATGTACTACATCTGTTATAATATTATTGCACAATAATAAGCCAAACACTTGTAAGTTATCAATAATAAAGTAAAAAAAAGGCTTTTATCAGCTAAAGCCCATTTGAAAATAATAATTAAAAACTTGCATTAATTTGCATATTGTCCATCAATTACAGAAGTATCAACTGCAAAATATGGAAAAAAAAAAAAAAAAAAAGACAAAATATACTTAGAAACTTAGAAATTACTGAATCTTGATTACAATTTGATTAATTGGACAGCCCTAATTCTACCAATTCTGACCTCAATCTAAATGTTAAACTAGGGTCCTAAGATCCTTATATTGTTGTGATGTAAAATAAACCAAATCCATTTTAAATTGAAGACATAATCCAGAGCAACCAAAAGCACCAAGGAAGAACATGCAAACATACATCACTTTTTTCCAGTAAGGCCTTACCATTGTGCTACTTTTTAAAACCTTAACCTAACTAACCTTGACTTAACTTTAATCTAATGACAGTAGAAAATACAATCAGATAATCTTTTTAAATCTGCACTGCATGTAACATTTCTGGTTGTCTACATAGAGATGTAATTGCTTTGCCTGGAATATCTCATAGTATGGCATTAAACTTGTGTAGATCCATAGAAACAAGCACCGGGCCATGTTACAGGTCACATGTCTGTAAAGGTGAACTCATTCACAACAAAATGCATACATACAATACATACATTTGAGCAATAAAAACATGTGAAATAAAAGCAACATATATGCGTTCAGTGCCATACTGTGTAACATTACAGGCAAAACAAATACAAGTTACATAGTTTAAGTAATTTGGAATACTTACAAACTGCATTGCGACTGTCCTTACTAGAAAAACTTACATGCTAGGGCTCTCAAACTATCTTAAACTTGTGTGACAGTCTTGTGTGAGCAGAGGTAGTTTTCCTGTTCCTCTTGTACATTCATATATGTACAGAGTGCCTAACATTATTTGCATGCACAACATACAGTATTTTCACCCACCAAAGATAGCATGTTGTGGTTAGACCTGTCGTGCGACTTTTCTGTATTGTACAGTATGTCCCAAAGCTGAGATAATAGGAGCATTTGCCAAAAAGGGTGGAGCTGGATTAATGTATATGACATATCGCATGTAAGAGATTAAAATGCTGTCAACTATTATGTAACTTTATATCAAACCTGTAGTGATAAACAAGGTTTAACTAGATAAATTAAGACTGAATCAAATTTTTGTTTGCATTTATTTATTTCAACATTAATCACAGAAAAGGCTGTAATTTTTGAAGTACCATAATTTCCTCTGCAAACAACTACATAATTCTTTTATTAGTTTGTCAGTTCATATTTAATGTAATTTACTGTCAAATCATCTAGTTGCATTTAAATGTGAATTTTGAGCAGAATCTTATTAAAACATAAATAGCAAATCTAATCAATTAGATATTATCATTTTACTTTTATGTCTTGCCAGCAACCTGTGACTACTGAGGATGACAAGCAGTTGAAATATGTTAAAGAAGACCAAATTAATCTCTTTAGGGGTGGGTGCTATTGTGAAAAAATATGTAATTGTGAGCTAAATCTGTGATGATGGTATTTTGATGATCTTATCATGATTCAGATTTTTTTTTTTGTGTGTGTAATGTAGCTTTTTGCTCTAACATAGACACTTTCCCCACCCCCTTCTCCTATTGGTCAGCCTCTGCTTGGCTCTGAGTGATTGACAGGTTAATTTATTTATTTTCTTATTTTTTTACCTTCATTTAACCAGGACAGACTAACTGGTACCTGAGTCCTGTCCCCAGAGGGGACTCTATTGTACATGTTTTAGCAGTAGGGAAAACCGGAGCACCTGGGACAATATGCAAACTCCCCAAAGAAAGGCCCTGTGCCACCCTGGAGTCAAACTCTAGACCATCTTACTGTGAGCCAACAGTGCTAATCAGTGCTCCACAGACAATGTAGTACAAAACAAAGCATCCAAACAAAAGGCTGTTTTGTTTTATTCTTGTTAATCTTATTGAAGTGTATTAAAAAAATTGACATATTATTATCTATCATCTTTTATCTTATTATTATCTCCTCTATTAAAGGGAAATAGTGTGTCTGATGTCTCTAGCCTCTAAATTGCATCTCCCTCCCTGCACCTGAATGCCTCACTTTGGAGGACTCTGACAGTGGAGTCTCTTTCTCTGTGTGGCAGATGTTGCTGGTACAGTCTGCAGAGTACAGCAGGCTGCGGCAGAATCCAACCGCTTCTCCTTCACTTCAGCATGGAGCCACCGGGAATTACTGCATATTATTCACATAGGCTAATGCAATACAGTGGATTTAAGTTTCGAATAATAAGTTGGGTTACAATGACATTCCATATATTGTACACCCTTATAGCAAGTACACTTTACCATTATAAAGTGGTTGCATTGCATAAGAACCTGGAAATTATGGGATTTTTTAAAAGGTACACTATGTAACTTTCCTGGTGCAGGATACACATTTACTCGTTTCCATGGAAATGTTATTTCTTTGCCAGTAATACTTGAATATACGGCATTAAACTTATCAAGATATCTAACATTCATTCAATTACAGGTTGTGTTATTGCCCTTGCCAGATGGTGTCATCTGCTTGTCTCCATGGAGATATATACATTTAATGCCATACCGTGAAACATTCCAGATAACGCAAAAATTTCTCACTGGAAACAAGCAGGTGATAGGCCCCCTATCAGAAAAGTCACATAACGCATAATTATTTTTATTTTATTTCTATTTATTTCTTTTTTCTTATAAAAGTTGACTTCTTTCTCAGTTTCCATCAGGTACAAAGATTACATTTATAAGTTATATCATCAAACACAAATTACCCATTTAAACAAAAAATAATAATTCTGCATTTTATTAGTAACATTATATTGTGTTCTCAAGTATCATGCAGTAACTTGTGTGCAGTAAAATGTATTTTTTACAGTATCCTATTAATGACCTCCTATTGCAGTTCTTAAACTTTTCACACCAAGTACCTACTATCAGATCTAAACCATGTCTAAAACCGGACTATTACAGGTCTAGGCTAGGCCTAATCCAGGTCCAAAACAGATCTGCGCAGTTGTTTTCCTAGTTCTAAACCTGTTGTAACCCAAAAAAGGACTAAATATGGATTAGATGGCAGATATTTGAACTGCAACGTAAAGTACCGCATTCATTATGAACAAACACTTTAGTAAGAATTTTTCAGATTTAGTCACAGTTTAGTCAAGAAATTTATTATTTTTATGAGTTAGGGTTTTAATTATTCAGTAACAAAGCCTGAATCATTCTTAATAATTGTTCATTATCAATTAAGTCTTTGTTCATGCTTCATGAAGGCAATTATTAAAAGTGTAGTTACTGTAATTGTTACTAAGGTATTTAAATTAGAAAATGTCTCTTTCGCATACACATTTTTACATGAAGCAGTTTTATTTTAGGCTGGCTTTTGGTTATGGCCTGTCCGACTCTGACAATGGTCTCTTGTAACCAGGTCTAAAACTGGGCAATAACAAGTCTTAACCAGGCCTTAACAAGGTTTAAACCAGGTCTAAAATAGGTCTGCACAACTGCTTTACCAATTCTGAACCTGTGATAACCCAAAAGTGGACAAAAATGTGCATTAAACTGATATTTCCAACAAATGCAACAGTTTGAGAAACAATGTCCTAATTAGTTAAATTAGAACATATCTCTATACAATTTTAAATAAAGGAGTTTCCTTATTCTTTTTTTTTTTTATCTAAAAGGTCGGCACAATTGTTTTGTAAAATATGGATTAAAATCATATTTGAAGAGCAGCATGAAACACTGCCCTAATGTATTCAAATTTGAAAATGTCTCTTTTGTGTACACTAGTTTTCTTAGCTCATTAGTTTTTGTTTGTGGCTCACCTGTCCGAATCCTGCCATGGTCTCTTGTGCATCCTGGTGGTCTCCCTCTCTCCGTCCGTCCTCCAGTGCATACACCGACCCATCAGTGTCCTGGACCCCCTCATCCTTCACCACCACGCCTTCTCCCCCCAGCACCTGCACATACAAAAGTAGATCTTAGAGAGAGAAAATACACGGCATGGAAAATACATTGGAAGGTAGAAGCAGTAGCAGCAGCAGCGGTAGCAGAGAGCGACAAAGAGCAGAGCAAGAGAAAGAGCAGCCTGCGGTTGTCCTTTTTTGTGCAAGCAGCAGGGGCTAACAAGTTTAATGACCTACAGTAAATATGCAGAAGTCCATAGAACAACAAGGCAAAAGGTGTTGAAGTTAGGATGAGGGCTTGTCTCCGATTGTGCAAAGTGCCGAAACATCTCAGCGCTATACGCCAATGCAGTGAGAAGAGGGAAAGCCAGCAGAAACAGAAAAGGAAAAAGCGGCGCGTTGCAGCTCTGCATGCCTGAAAGCTGTAACCATGGCAACCTCCCCCTCTCACCCCCTCCTCCTCCTCTTCCTCCCCTTCTCTTTTCTCCCTCCGCCCTCCCCTCTTACCTGAAGTCGGAGCGGCTGCCTCTGCTTGCGACTGTGCCCGGCCCCCCTATCTCCCCTGCGCTCGCGGTCCAGCTCCTCCTCCTCGCTGTAGCGGTCCATGCCCACCAGGTCATCAGAGAGGTCGTTGCCGCGGAGACTGTCCCGGCTGATGCTGTCCACGCTGCCCACCCCGGAGCTGCAGCCACCCGAAAGGTTTCCAGTGCTCCCCCCGCTAGCACCGTTAGCCGTCTGTGCTAACAGGTCACGCAGCTTGTACCTGTGTGGACAAATGCAAGGGCTATTTTATCTGACCAGACAAAGCAGACTGGAGAAAAACTATGTTACAACTACAAGTAAGACTGCAAGATTTGTCAAAATGCAATCTGATTAAAATTTGAATGGGTGCAATATGGCAAGACTGAAATTTCAAGTATTATAGTTTTCCATCTTTATAAAATGTATAAAACCTGTTAACCCTGTGGTTTATATATCTACTGATAGGTTCTGAAATGCATGTGATACTTGTATTAGTTTAGCAATTCATATTTCAGATAATAGTAATCTTCCTGAATGTGTTTAAACTGTGTACACTGAACAGAATCCAACTATTAAAACATAAATTAAAACTAGGTCTGCAACTAACAATTATTTTGTTAATTAATTACTGGAGAGACTCTTCTTTTAATTAGCTGAATAGTTGTTTAAAATGTGAAAGCTGAACATGAGATTTTTACCAAATTTTACCCAGACAGAGCTGAAAATGAATGGCTTCAGGTCATTCTAATAAAGTATATTATACAGACAGACTGAAAATGACTGTAAATAGCAAGATAGCAGTTGAATTATACTGATTTCAAAAGATTGTACTTTTGAAACCAGGCAATTTAATCTAAAACACAAAGCTACCTATTTCTCAAGTCATTTCCATGTAATTAATGCTCTGTGTAAGTCATAAAACCTCTTCTGTCAGCTTGAAGCATGTTTTAAGTCTGTTATAGACCAGTTATTCCATTATTAAATTAGTTGAGTTTAGTTATTAATTGTCACAATAGATAAGTTGCAATGAACTGATTAACTTGTTGCAGCCCTAATGGAATAACAATCACACTCCCCAGAAAAAAAATAGTTTAGTTCTAATCATACAAGTTGTCAAAAACAAACAAACAAACAAAAAACAATACCCAAAAAACTAAATGATACTAAAAATACAAAATACTAAAAACTAGACCAAAATAGACACTAATTTCAACAAGTTTTGATGCAGGAAGAAATCACAAATATAGGATAGATTTGAACCATAATAAATAATAAATAAGACCATGTAATAATATTTAAGAAAGTACTTAAGCACCATAGTCTTTCCATTATTGTGGAGAAGTTGGTATTAATCTTTTTTCTCAGTATCAAAATTGAGTTTTAGTAGTGATACTACAACTACATCTATTTATTTATGAAATGATCAACATCAGTGGTTTTTAAACTTTCTACAGACTACAATAATAATACCTTACATTTTTATTGCACTTAACACATTTAACAAGCCTCCCATAGCACCATGCACACATAGTCATTCAGTCAGATTTTGTTTCCTTATATTGATTGGATTTAATTTATTAAAAACAGATAAAAGTACTTTTAATATCAATTTCTTGAAAATAAACAGGCAGATTTAAATCTATGCAAATTAATTGCAAAAAACAGTGAAATTTCTTTCTCCAAAGTCTGAACTCTGCTCCAATGATGATGGCTGAGGGGCCACAATACCACAGTTTTTTTTCTATTTTTTAAAAATTAAAACAATACTAAGTACTTTAGGACATAATTTTTTGATACTGAATCTTGATAGTGGTCTAACCTTATGGGTGAAGGCATTTCAATAGTGCAAATAGTGCAGCTATGGTGGTCTGGTGGAGTGAATAGGCCAGTCTAAACAGATGAGTTTGGATTTGAAGTGTGGGAGTAAGTCAGTGTTGCGGAGGTCAGGAGGTTGTTCCAGAGCTGAGTAGAAGAGTGGCAGAGGGCACACAGAGTTGGAGAGAGGAGGAGGAGCGGAAGAAGAAAGAGGAGGAGCAGAAGGCACAGAGAGTTGGAGAGAGGAGGAGGAGCGCAGGAAGAAAGAGGAGGAGCAGAAGGCACAGAGAGCTGGAGAGAGGAGGAGGGTGCAGGGAGAAAGAGGAGGAGTAGATGACAGAGAGCTGGAGAGAGGAGGACAAGCGGAGAGCAGGTAGAAAGAGGAGGAGCAGAAGGCACAGAGAGTTGGAGAGAGGAGGAGGAGCGCAGGAAGAAAGAGGAGGAGCAGAGGGCACAGACAGCTGGAGAGAGGAGGCGGAGCGGAGGGAAAAAGAAGAGGAGCAGGAGGCACAGAGAGCTGGAGAGAGGAGGAGTGAAGGGAGAAAGAGGAGGAGCAGAAGGCACAGAGAGCTGGAGAGAGGAGGAGTGGAAGAAGAAAGAGGTGCAGAGGGCACAGAGAGCTGGAGAGAGGAGGAGGAGCAGAGGGAGCTCAGAGAGATATGAAGGTGTAAGGTTGTGGAGGGCTTTGAAACTGAGGAGCAGGATTTTGTATTGAATGTGGCCTGTGTAATGGGGAGCCGGTGGAGCTGTTGTAGGATGGGTGTGTGATGACATTTGGACTGAGTCATTTGTATTGATACTCTATACCGATACTCCCATGCCTACTTCAAGCCACATGCCTTGCCTATAGATTTTTAACACCCAAAGCAAATAATGAATCATTATTTAAAACTGAATCTCGATCTTGATTAAAATGTATTTAAAATTTTGCTTCCCATTAAACAAGATCTAAAACAATACAATGTCATCTATACTTGCATGTCTTTTTGATGCTATATCTCCCTGTGCATTAATAATAGAAATAGCAGTTTATGACACAATACACTTGGCACAATTAGTAGCGTCTCCACAGTATTCCTAAAAGTTTGTCTATACGTTTTGCTGTTGGTACGTGCTGTTTATGAGTCATCTACTGCAGTGCATAGCGGCAGCTTCAGCAGAGGTGAGTTACTGAATATCTAAAAGCAAAACATCTCATTTCATCCCACTGTGGCCTATAACATCACCTGTGACGTAGAACTCTGGGTAATAGATAATTTAGGTACTAAGAAGTTGACAGCAGAGAACTAAATATCTCAGTGTCCTTATAGAATCCTCCTGTGAACCAAACCCAAAAACCTGTAGTTTGAACTGGAACACATTCTTAAATGTATGTGATTTTTTTCATAGTTTTGGCAGTTAATAATAAAATTTGATTACAACTATGGCTCTAAAGGTGCATGTAACTTTTCAGGTTGGGGTCCAGCATATGGTTGTTCATGTAGGTGTTCATATGGACAACAAACTGGACTGAACTTACAACACAGACACACAAACAGGAGGGTCCTGGCTAAAGTCACACCTATGCTGGAGCATGAGTGTCGCCCCCTGCAGGACACCCTGTCTGGTCTGAAAAGCAGCTTCAGTGACAGCCTGATACACCCTCGATGTTAAAGAAGTACCGCAGGTCTTTTTTTTCTTCCTGGTACTGTCAGCCTGTACAATGAACAATGCTATCCCTGTACATGTGTCATTCACGTGTAGTAATCATGTGCAATACTGTAAAAAATATGATATACATATTATATATGTATTCTCTCTCTCTCTCTCTATACATATAAATTATCTATTTATCCTGCATTGTTGCGAGATAAATTTGTTGTGCATAATAATAGAGCCACTTATTGTATATAGTAGTGCTGTAGTCCCTTATTTTATTTTATTATACAAAGTGTTGTGTTCAATTAAATTTATTTATCTTGACTTTTGAGTGCCTATTTCTATCCTCTTGCTGTGCATTGCAATACTGTAATGTCTTCATTGCGGGACAAATAAAAGTTCTCTTGTCTTATCTTATATGCTCGTCTTGATTTCAAATGTTCCACAGTATGGCATTAAACTTGACTCTAATTCAGGGGTGGGCAATTATTTTTTTCCATGGGCCCACATGAGAAATAGAAAATATTGCCAAGGACCGAGCCAAAATGCTTAATTCAATTCTACAAAATACTTCTTGATAATTGTAAGAGAACAAGTTATGACTAAGCAGTGAAAACGTTAGGTTGCTTTACAAAAAATGTAATTTAAAAAAACATCTCTAAAATAAAAGCAATGCAGCTTTAGCTCATGCATGAGGTAAAATTATAAAATATGTTTATTTTGTAATTCCAAATTATCTTAAACGGGCCAGTCAGAGTCAACGAAAGGGTTATATATGGCCTGGGAGCTGCACAATGCCCAGGTCTGCTCTAATTGAATGAATGCAAGATATATTTTTATTGCTAGAAATACCTCAGAGAACATGCATTCTTCCTGTAAGCACCTCAAATCAGAGGCTTGTATTACAAAGCTGGCTGAACTCATCTTAGGCAAGTTTCTCTACTCAAATACACAAACCCAGATATGGGTGCCAATGGATAAGCGATGCTCTGAAACAGGTTCACAACTTGCTCTGTCAAACCCGGATTTCCTGAATGAAGCTGCACAGGTTCACAGTACAGGGACCAGGGTGAGGGCCAACCTACCAATTAGAATGATCTAAAAGGTGCTAAAAATAGCTATGTACTTGAAACACAAGGAACAAGGAAGGATCAACATCACAAAATAGTCAAGGATCTAAATAATAAAGAACAAACCAAAGGAAATCCAGTTGTTGTGGTCATAAGAAGTCTGCCCATCACATCCATGCAAGTAATGCCATGAAGATGCTTCTTCTACATTATTCATTCATATAGAAGAAGCAAAACCATAACATCTCTATGAGACAAGCAGATGGCAGGTCCTCCAATAGAAAAGTTACATAGTGCACCTTTAAATGGCCCGTACCTGCTTTCAAACCATGAGTCAGGAACATGTTTTAGTTTAAACTTTTGGTTTGTCTGCCCTTGTGAAATAGCACATAACACAGAAACAAATGTCTGTGATAGTGTCATGCAGTTGTTTCTCTTATAGTTCTCCCATCTCTCAATACCATTTACAGTTGATAGTTAGCAGTTGGGTTCCCATTATTCTTTGTAACAATGTGCCTGATTGGACAAAAAAAGCTTCTATGTTAGTTATTACAAGATAAAATGCTATGCATTTTTTAACTGCTTTATCATACGATGCATGATGTAAAGAGCATTTATCTTGACAAGAATAAAATCAGATATCAGGTCCTTTAATTGTGCATAAGATTTTACAATTTTCCTTTTTCCAATATTGAGCAGCCCTAAATCAAATATAACCATGAAGGTATTCAATATTGCACCTACCGGACATCCTGAGTGCAGGTTGGGCTCTGCTTCATCAGCATTTGTCCTGACCCGAGTCCGTCTCCTCCGCACATGCCTCCGGGCCCCATGTCTCCGAGCCCCATCAGACTCACTGCGTTCTGCTGCTCCATCCCTCCGCTCTCTGCAACATTCACGCCATTTCCCATTCCCGACATGTTACTCGCACAATCGGCCATGAAGTTGGAGAAGTTTGGATACCCGCCCGGATTACCAGAACAACTCCCACTGCTGTCGCGGCCTTTACCCCCTCCGCGGTCTTCTTGTTTGGGCAGGATACCTCCGAGCATAGCGCCCCCACTGGCTGCTGCTGCCGCCGCTGCTGCTGCTGCCCCTGCCGCGGCTTTCCTTTGTGAAATGATCTGCGTGCACTCGTCAATCACCGTTTTGATTTGTAAGATGCTGGCTGCGGTGAGGATGCACAGAGCCTGAGATTGGAGCACGACCAGGGAACCGCTGTACATAAAATCCACGAGCTGTTTGACCGTTTCAGCGGGCACTAGTGGCGGGACGGAGATTTCAGAGTGGCCCAGGAGCAGTTTATCTTGGAAAAATGGACTGCCAGCGGCTAGGACACAGGCGTGGGCCCGGAGAGAAGAGTCGTGGATGCGTACAGTGACGTCGCAGAATAGGCCTTCTCTTCTCTGGGTGCGCAGAGCTTCCAAAACAGACTGGCTGGAGTTGTGCAGGTGGATGTAGTGGACCGTCTCCGTGCCAGGGGCCATAGCAGCGTGCGGCGTGGGCGGAGGAGGGGGGGAGTCACTGGGGACCGGGTGGGAGATGGGGTGGGGGAGGGGAGGGAGGTGCCTGGGGTTCTGCGTCAGCTTGAGGGAGCAGGAGGACAGGGAGGGAAACGGGTCCAACGCATGGGCCACGGTGAGCCCTGTCTGGTCACACAGCCATGAGGCAAGAGGAGGGGGAGAAGTCTGCTGAGGGGAGGGGCAGGGGGTGTGGTCCTGAGCGAGAGAGAGCACAGCTTCAGTCACCTGTAGAAACAAAATTACAGTCATTAGTAGAGTGGCCAGTCATGATAATTACTATTAGAAGTGGAAGATATACCAAAAGATGAATAATATCTCAGTTATTGTTTGCAAAATAAGATTATTGAGTAAATTAACAGACTAAAATCTATTTATAAAGTCTGTAAAAAAGAGCCTATAACATAATCGTCCAAATAGCCCAAACAATCATGATATTTCTGCACTTTTATGTTACATTTCCTGTTTTTTGCAATGCTTCAACCTCAGCAAACACAACTGCAGGCATGTTTACAATTGTCTCTCACTGTTTATCACAATAATGGATGTTGGCATCGGAATAAGCCCAAAAATATTAAGATATAAATTTTGGTCAATAATGCCACTGCTACCCCTAATTATTACAATATTTTTAGTGGGACAATATTTATTGTACATACTTTTTTGCAAAAGACGTGATATATTTTCTTTATTTTTTGTGGCACATAACATTTGAACTATACAGGGTCGCTCAGTGTAAATATCGTCATACTTGTACACATTACATATTGCATTTCTTTCACTAAAGTGTCATACTTTTGCACAGTATTGCATGTTTTGGCACAATCTGAAAGAAATTACTCACATCACATCAAAAGTTCTGTTTATATTAGAATCTGGTAATATGATAACTCCAGAAATCAGAGAAATATCAGATTTTTAGTATTGATGCAAACAAAGTTACTGTTCATTGCAATGTAGTCAGTCAAGTGGGTTGTGTTCCAAGTAGCCTTTTATTTTAATTAGCACAAGAGAAAAACATCCATGCATGCTATGTTACACTTTGATTGCAATTGACAGCATGATTATGACATGATTGTGACTTAATTAGAACATGATCATGATGAGTCCCTGAGACTCCCAACACTGCTGCGGTTAACAACTAGGTGCAATACAATTATCAATGTGATTTTCTTGTGTATTAAAGGAGCAATATCAGACTTTTGTGATAGAGGGTCCAACACATGTCTCCATGGAGGTGTTATTGCTTTGCTGAATGTTCTGCAGTGTCGCATGAAGCTCATCTAACTCCACTGAGACAAGCAGGTGTCACCAGGATAAGTTAAATCTGTGGAGACTGGCTGTTCACAGTAAGAATGTATGTTTTAATTTATTAATTAGAATTTAAGCGAAATTCATTAGTTTAATGCAATACTGTGGAGCATTCCAGACAAAGCACCAACATCATCATGAAGACAAGTAGACAAGAGAAAAGTTGCATAGTGCACCTTTTAAAAAAATGGGCTCCTATGACAGTGCTCGCGCTGTCTCCTGGCAAAATGACAATAAAATCGCGCGTCAGGCCTAAAAAAATCCCGTATGAATAATTTTAACTGTGTACATTTCGAGACAAACAATTCCCCACATTAAAGAGTCCTCGCTCCGATGCGGACGGAGACGTCTCGGCGCATCACCTGACTCACCTGTGGTGACAGCACGTGCCGCGGGTCAGTTTCGTGCTGCTCTGTGGGTGGCCCTAATGCACCGCACATGACACACTTCTGTTACAAACCCGACGACTCGATGTAAAGGTAAAAAACACTAAAGCCCCTACACTGTGTCATCGATACACCCTGTTCTCTACAACAAATGCTTTAATGCACAAACAACAAGAACAAACTGGTTAAGCGCTGGCAGCTAACGGTGGCTAGCGTTAGCTGTTGACATTAGCGCCCAAGCTCTCGCACAGAAATCTGCAAAAGCATCTGGGTTTACTCGTGCAAACCACATAATTTTATCAAAGAAGTCGTTACGGGGTCACACCGAACATGTTAACCAAGCTGGCACGTTGCCCAGCCTTCTATTTATTCGAGTTCAACCCATGCTACCAAGATTTGCTAACGTGGCTACAATGCTGGCTAGCCATCACCGTCTGCCAACTATCAAAGTTAGCATGCTGCCAGTTCTTTATGTTCCGAGCACGCATCGTTACATGCAATATGCTCGTTGTTCATGTGGCGTTATTAACGTGTTATATGTGTTACCTACCCGCAGTGTCAGCCCGCCGCTTGTGTGTTAGAGGCAGATTGATGCCGCAGGAAGCCCTCCGTGATCCAACCTGAGCTGCAGACAAACAGTAGACTAGACCGAGACAGACAGCCCGACCCACGCGCATCGGGCACTGCTGGAGCGGCTGGTGCGACTGCGGATTATTGCCCCTATCCACAGCCGTGAATGAATGCTGCCAGGCGGGTTCTGTTCTACTGTTTCAGCCCTTGATCACACCCAAAGTAAAGTAGGACAAATACCTGCACAGTGCCAGCTGGCTGCATGCAAACTATCTGCAGGAACACCCACACACTTTCTGGTTATCTCAACAAAGAAACATAGGGAAAGTGAGGCTATTGTTAAGCTTTCATTTGCATTCAAATAAAATAGCAAATAGCCATGTTTACTCAAAGTAGGTTACTACGTAAGTAATAATTGAAGGACTAATAATAGCTTAATTGAACTAAAATATACCAAAATAAACAATAGCAGCTTTTTTTTTCATTCTGTCCAGGCACTAACATTATTAAGCCACAATGTCAAATTTGAGTTGAACCGTTATAGTGTATGGATTAGCTATTTCAGTCTTCAGCCCACCTTCATTACATTAGCAGATTGCTGGAGTAGGATTATATTAGGGCACATATTAAAGTTTGCTTCCAAATAATTGTTGTTATTCTAAAATGACATTTATATAATACATGGGTACATTGGGTACATATATATATATATATATATATATATATATATATATATATATATATATATATATATATATATATATATATATATATATATATATATAGGGGTGTCAAATTATCGCGTTAATTGCGATTAATTAATTACAGTCATATTTAGCGCGTTATGTTTTTTAATCTGATTTTTAATCTCTAACTTTAGTGTTTCTGTATGCGAGTTGCTTTATTATAAAACCTGTTTTTATGTGTTGTTGGGACAACAACAACACACACACACACACACACACACACACAAAAAACACATTTATACATTTTTTTATTTCGGTAATTCTACTCATTGACGGAAACCCACACAAAACACGCGCAGTAACAGCGATGTAAACGTCATGTTCACGTTGGCGGCGTCAGGACGAGGTCGAAGAGCCAGTAGAACAGAGTCAGCAGTGCACAGGTAAAAACGCATTCGTGTCTTGGAAATTCTTCTCCCGACGTGAAATATAAAAGAAAATAACAAATATAATATCGCCTACAACTTAAATGTCACTGGTGAAAACAACCTGCATAGGCTCATGATGTCTGCACTACTGTCCTATACACAAACACACACAAACACAAACAAACAAACACACACCTTCATCATCGTCATCAACCTGAGAACGCGCGGACCACGTTTCCTTCCGTAGACACTGCGCGGACACCGATGTGCTCCCGTGCGCCGCGTGTGGATCGTGTTTTCTCGCATACGCGGCGTAAACCGCGCTTCCTCCTGTGCGCCTCTAAACCAGAACTAACACCAAGACTAAAACCAGGACTAACCCAGTCCAGGACTAAACCAGGACTAAACCAGAACTAACACCAGGTCTAAACCAGGTCTAAACCAGGACTAAACCAGCACTAAAACCAGAACTAAAACCAGGTCTAAACCAGGACTAAACCAGGATTAAACCAGAACTAAAAGCAGAACTAAAACCAGGCCTAAACCAGGTCTAAACCAGGACTAAACCAGAACTAACACCAGGACTAAAACAGGATTATCCATTCCAGGACTAAACTAGGACTAAACTAGGATTAAAGCAGGTCTAAACCAGGACTAAAACAAGGATTAAAACCAGTGATTTCATATATAAAGCATTTTTCTCTATGAATAATATTTTTAATATGGTTAAGGAAAGACTGGACTTTTTATTGTCTTTAAGTAGACAAAAGTTATTATGTTCAGATTTCCTCGTCTTTGCTACTTTACAGCAAACAGTTTCTTATTCATGGAGACTTGGGCTCAACAGCCAATTTGGACAGATTTGTTAAACAATAAATTACTTTATAAAGTCACTTTTTTTAATCTATATCAGTCTTTTGATCTGCCACAATAATGTAATAATTAATTTAAATGAAAATACCTCAAATTGAAGTATTTTTTCAGCAATTTTTAGGTGAGATTAAAATGAGATTAATTAGATTAATTAATTACAGATCATAATTAATTAATCTCAATTTTTTTAATCGCATGACAGCACTAATATATATATATATATATATATATATATATATATATATATATATATATATATATATATATACACACACTCAATATGTAGTTTTGAGGAATATGTTTGACCCTCATAGCCTCCATCCTGTTTTTAAGCTCCTGTATATGCTATTCTCTAGAGACAGACACCAGATTTTTGTGGCCCTGTACATCCCATACATCCTGTTTATAATGTTCTGGTGGAATTAGGTCCCAGATGTTATCTATTTTAAATGTGGCATGTACTAACTCACTTTTACAATAACATTATTCCTTCGCAGTAATATAACACAAAAAAATTATGAGGAGGTAATATCTTAGGAACATTGGTATAAAAACAGCAACAAGTTGAGTCATTGAATTACCCATAGTGTATGTTAGTAGACTGCTAATTAGTAAAAATCCTAACTCTTCTGCTGCTTATTAAACATGAGACAAAGCATGAATTCACCAAATTTTCGCAATTGAATTGAGTTTAAACAAGATACATTCATTAAATCTCTCTGTGCTGTTAAAGATTTTGATAATTACAGAATATGACCCTGGTTTGTGAAGCTGTTGATCAATACTTTATTATTTCCACAGATTTAAGATGCGATTCTATTCGTCTATTGAAGAATGAGGTTGTCTAAGGTAAAAACTGTAATTATTTTTGAAGGTTTGGTATTTAGGTTTTAATTCTTGTATTAAAAGAAACAGGGATTTTTCAAAAAGAACACATTTTTGCCAATCTTGCTTGAACAATGTAACCTTTCAGAAATTACATATCAGGTAATATACTATTTTTACTCGCATACATGTTAACACACTTTTGAGACTCAAGCAATGTTTCTGAAATCACATAATTTAGTACAAGCATGCAGTTCTCTTACTTGCTATACTAAAACACAACATATATTTTCCTTTTTAATAATACAATTTTAATAATACAAGAACAAATCTCCCTTTTGTTAAAAACACATTTCAGCCTAAAAAAAATAATAAACAATTATCTTCAATAATTTTAACTATTTTTGTCCAGACAGATTTGTTGTTGTATTTGTGCAATGGCATTTAAAATGGTTTGCAGGTCTCCTCTTAACAATTTTCCTCAGATCTTTTATAACAGCCTCTTGCAGAAGCAAAAAATTATTCTTCAAGACTTAAGAAGTCAAATATACACATAAGAATTGCAGTATATAACTAATAACAATATAAGACACAATCAAGTATACCACAATTTTCATTTGCACATATTTTGTTTGTAGTTTTAAGGTTAAGGTTAATTAGTAGTGAGGAAGTAAAACACAGTTGTATGCTGGAAGATGCCCTGGTGTGATAATTATAATGTATGTAGCATCTACCTAATGCCAGTGTGGTATGACAGGTTTGAATTCCGCTGCTGCTCATGCATTTTTTGAAGTGTGTATGAAATTACTTCACACCGAGTGCCAAGAACATACTACTAAAACTATGTTGACTATTTACATGTACNCGATCATATGGCGCTATTGCCTCTGGGATAAGAAGAAGGACTTACAGTATAATGCTATCCCTATATAAGACTTAATCTGTTTTATCGAGTGTAAGAATGAGTTTGGTTACACTGCAGCTCAAATGAACATTGTTAAGTCTTCACAGCGGGAGGTGGCAGTTTTATTGACAGTTGAAATTAAATGGTTTTCACACATTTTAAATGGTTTTTCACATTTTCACTGAGAATCAATGTATACGCAATTGTTTGTCCTTCAAAACACTTCAATCTCTCATTACAATTTGTCACTCAAGATTATGTAAAATAAGTTCCCTTCACTTCACATACGTGTCTTGTCATGCTTATGAAACATTGGCAACTATAGCCTGCATACACCTGCACACTTGGCCGTTCAATCACAAGCCTGTTCACATCTGACTGCCATTATGCCCTTTAGCAAGACAGCAAAGCCACATTGACTCACTTGTGTGCGTATGGCAGGCATGATGGGAATATTTTCCTGAGGCACAAGGCTTTGAGTGTGTGCCCAAGTAGAAAATTGCTGTAAAAATGGTGTAATTTACTTCATGTCACCTGTGATCTCAGTGGCCATCATAACCAACAAATTATGGAGTTGTCAAATGGCTTTCAATAGCTGCTTCATTCGACTTCTCCCTAACATGTAAATATAGTGTGTTATGACTGATGGGGTTAGATTTGTTGTGGTGATCTTATCTTGGGTGTTTTATTGAATGTTGGGTAGACAAACTGTTCATTGAATAGAATGAACACAGAGAACTAGACAGGACCCAACCAATACAAAACAGTGTGCCATGGTCATGATTTTCCTGTTGTACTATCGTTCACTATCTACTTTTTATTTTGTCATTTCTATAGCCCTGTGTGTTTTTGAGTTTTACTTCTATATCTGCCCTTTGTTGATCCACTGTTAGTGTCATGTCTGCTTGGATTTTTTTGTTTGGTTTTACTTCTGGTTGTTGTGTTTATGCCAAATTAAAGAACTTTTCAAGAGCAGTAGTGCATTTTGGTAGCCAGGCTGGCCTAGCGCCTCCGCTCAATTTCATTTCTCTCCAGCGACTAGATCAGGAATCGGAAAACACTAGACGGTTTGCAAGAATCCAGAATTGCGAGTCCAGGTACCAGCCAATCAGCGAAGAGTCATACTTTTTGTGTTGGCAACGATTCCCGAGATAGAAAATTTAAAGCCAGAACAAAGAGAATGTTTGGTGAATTTTATCAAGGGGAAAGACATTATTGCCCTTCTTCCTACGGGAATTGGGAAAAGCATAATATACCAGTTAGCCCCATTAACGGCACATTACGTACATCACGACAAATAGGGATTGGTTGAATAAAAAAAGTACCTGCCTACTATCGAGCAAACAAAATTCTAATGCTAGGGTCAGACGGTTTCCACAAAGTGAAACCGGCTGATTAATCAGACTAGCATTTTGGGTCCTTCTGTTTAAAATGTGACAGTGTGGTTGAGACTGTGCACCAGTACGTAACCAATAACAGTTTAGCAATACATTTTCTAACATGTGCTTGCAATTTGCACTACAGGAATCATTTGCAC